CATGTTAGAAAGTAGTTTTTGATGATCCTAAAGAATATTTAGAAAGATGATGCTTTATTTAGCTTAGTATGCATTATTTTCATAGCAGCTTTAATTAAAAATATAGGTCTTCTTTAGAAAATTATCTACATAATTGTTACAGTTACATTTGCATTCGGAGGCAAATATGGCATTCATCTACTCTGTATCCACTGATCAAATGCCTACTGTGAGCTAGACTCTCTAGTTCCAGGGTTCTAGACCTTTTTTAATGTTCTGGACCTCTTTGACAGTCTAGTAAAGTCTGTGGACGCCCTCTTAGAATAATGTTTTAAAACAATTGAAGAAAATCCTAAAATTTAGTTAAACGTTAATGAATCTAAAGAAGTAATTTTTTTCCATCCAAATTGTGGATTCCTTAGAAAACTATTTATATGACCCTCAGATTAAAAACTATGAATGGAAATATTAATTTATATTCAAACTGCTTCTAATCTGATGAGTGGTGAATGCTATATGTTAATGACCATGATACAAAATAGAAAATGAGTATAATGGAGAAATCTATATAAGGCATTATTTAAGAGAGATTCCTTCCATCAGTAAGGCAGCTAGGTGGCACAGTGGACAGAGTGCTGAGCCTAGAATCAGGAAGACTCCTCCTCCTGGGTTCTAATCTGGCCTCAGATGCTTACTAGTTGTGTGACGCTGGGCAAGTCACTTAACTTTGTTTACCTTAGTCCTTCATCTGTAAAACGAGCTGGAGAAGGAAATGGCAAAGGACTCTAGTATCTCTGCCAAGAAAACCACAAATGGGGTCATGAAGAGTCAGACATGATTGAAATGACTGAACAATAAGACAATAACACTTCTATCTAGGGTAATGGAAGAGGAAGAACTTGAGTTGGGACATGAAGGAAGGCAGGAAGGCAGGCAGGAAGGAAGGGAAGGAGGGAGGGAAGGAAAGAAAGAAGGAAGGAAGGAAGGGAGAAAGGAAAGAAGAAGAACAAATTCTCTCTTCATAACCACAAGCAGTTGTAAAGCCTTTGTATATATCCAGAGCTATTTACTTGCCAAAAAAAAAATGAATTCAATGCTATTGCAATGCTAGTAGCTATATAAAAGGGGAGGAGAGTAAGTGGGGAAAAAAATCAGATAAGAACTGTCAATTCCTTTTGAACATTTGTGCTTGAGGGTATGCGGATATCTTCCTTAGTTCCCTTTGACTCCTCAACATGAGACAAATACCGATGCCTATTCATTCTCCCCTTCTCACTCTTCACCCCAAGCAATAGCTAACTCATATCTAGAATATTTGTTTTGGGCCACTACAGGCTACCAATTTGGAGATGTTTCTCATCCATTCCATTCTGGTGTCCTCAGTGACCCAGTCCTTTCAGAGAGAGTGAGATATCTCATAACCTTTTCCATTACTTTCTCCATCTCCAGAATTATTTTAGAAAAGAGGCAAAAGGTAAGGTCTTCCTTATGTTGCCCTTGCCTGGTGAATTGTCAAGCATAAGGAAGAGATTAAGAGTTAGATGAGACTTAGAGTCAGGAAGACCTGAGTGCAAATCCTGCCTCTGACACTTTGCTATAGGACCTTGGGAAAGCTATTTTACCTCTCCTAAGCCTCAATTTCTTCATCTATAAAATGCAGGTAATAACAGAACTTCCCTTAAAAGAATGTTGTGAGAACAAAATGAGATAATGTATTCAAATCACCTCCAAAACCTGAAAGCATTAAATAAATACTAGCTGCTATTGTTAAATTATTTAATTTAATTATTTCTTCTTATTAATGACTAGTGTTGTAGCAACTTTAATTTTTCAGGACAAGTATACACCTGTGGATTCTTAAGGGTTAATTTGGCAATGTTGGTGGGAAGAGCAGGAATAGGAAGCGAAAGACTAGAGAGAAGAAGGGAGGGGAGAATAGTCTCTCCTAGAACTCAGCCTTAGCATTGTACCTGGCACATATGCAGGAAAAGCTGACAAATGATAGTCGTTTGACTGACTGATTAGCTAACAGGGTCTCAGGCTGCCCATCCTGCCCCTGCCCACTAAGGACAAGCAATCACTCAATAAAGATCCTACTTTGTTCACATAGTAGAAGTTTTAATAAATGTTTGTTGCACAGTTCTAAATGTTGGTACAAAAAAAAAAAGATAATCCCTGACCTCAAAAAGCTTACATTCTACTAGACTGATATAGCAGATAATTAAGATAATTAAGTACAATTCAGTTAAGTGAAGAAACTTAAATGTAATCCATAACATAAGTGCATGATGATTTCAAGGAAAGGAGAAGTAGGATTGAGGAAATCGTGTACTTTGTCCTTCGTTTTCAAAGCAGACCAATGACATCACAGGGTGATGTCCTGACTCATGCATGAATTGGATTTAAGTGAAGCAGAATTGCACAAAGCCTGTTTTAAACACTGCAAACATAAGTGAAATGCTTCATGATAAAGTAATTGAGACTTTTTAAAAAAAAAGTCGTCTGCCTCACTCTTTTCTTCCAGAGGCACCAAAGCCCAATATCAAGACGAAAAGTCAAGACACCTGGCAGTGGCCTGGGATACAGTGGATGGCTTTAGCATCTTCAATGTCTGACCAAGCGCTAAGAACTCCACAGTGCCTCCTTCAGCCACTTTAATTGCCAATGGAACAAATGTTCTCATCTACTTGGTGTAGACACCCCCCTAATTCAGCAAAGGGCTTGAGGCCTGTCAGTTCCCCTCAACCTGGTTTAGTCCATCTGCCTAGGTGGTTTGCCAGGGTGGGGCTGCTGTAAGTGCTACAGCTTTTTAGAGCCACGGGTGAGAATTGAGTTCCAGGTAGACAACAAAGGTGGGTGAGCACCCCTGAAAGAGACCCTCAGCAAGTCCTCATATCCAAGGTGCTCATCCTCCCAATCACAAAAGGCCTTTTAAGGAAGGCGACATGAGTTGAGCTTTGAAGGAAGATAGGGGTTTGAAATGAGGAAAGGGAGAAGTCTAGGCTTGGGGAATAGCCTGTGCAAAGGCCAGTTTGGTTGAACTTGGCCCTTTGGGCTATTGTCTCACACCTGGCTAGACTCCAACCTTCCATCATTTGCCTCCCTTTACTCCTACTCACTCTTGAAGGAAACTGGAAGAAACCACAAAGTCAGGCTGAGTGAGCTCACTGACCATTTATGTTGTGGAATAACAAATGGGCCCTCACTGAAGCAAGGCAATCCTTTTACTCCTAGCTAATTAACTCCCAGGAGGAGTCAGTAGAGTGAAATGTATCTGGAGCCAGAGGGCCAAGGTTCAAATCCCTGCTCTGCCATTCACTAACCTGAGACCTTGAGACAGGCATTTTGTTTCTCTGATCCTCAGTTTTTTCATCTGTAAAGTGGGAAAATTAGACTAGATGTCTAAGATCCATTCTTAATTTAGACTTAGATCCTTTGATCCTGAAGCTTCCCACAGCACACCCTCTCCACCCCCACCTCTAACCTTCTTACATTTTACATCACATACACACACACACACACACACACACACACAGGAGCATACTCCTCAAACTAGTGACAATGACTTTCTTCCTACTCCTCAAACACTACACTTCATCTCCTGACCTGTGGCATTTTCACTGGCTGTCCTCCATGCCTGGAATTCTTCCTTCTCTCTCTGTGTCGTGGCTTCCTTCAAATGCCCAGCTCAAGTCTCACCTTCTACAGGAAGCCTCTCTTGATCCCACTTAATTTGGGGGTGTTCCTGTTGCTGATTATATCCAATTTTTCCTGCATATAGCTTGTTTGTGCATATTGTCTCCCCCAGTAGATTGTGAGCTCCTTGAGAAGAAGGACTGTCTTTTGCCTTTCTTTGTATCCACAACACTCAGCATGGGGCTGGACGCAGAGTAGGTATTTAATAAATGTTTACTGACTGAAAATTATGACCAGGATCAAAAATAAATACTTTGTAGAACCTCTAAAGCTCATCACAACCTATTCTCCTTAGTACAATTCCTGGCACATAGTAAGCGCTTAATAAATGTTTGTTAACTGATTGATAGTAAGAGAAAAAGAATGTGACAGCCTGGGAAATTTCTAGATAGGACAACCTAGATCCCATTGCCTTTTGGGTAATAATAGCTATGCTCTACCTTGATAAATTAATCTCTTCATTGAATTATGATTTCTCCCAACAATGCTCACTTCCATTACAATTACTCTCTTAAAAATTAATTACATAATGAAAGTGTTTAGACCTAGGTATTTGACCTGTGGCTCATAAGTCAGCTGTATTTTATCTTATCCCAGGGTGTGATCTGTAATGTTTTTAGTGGAAAAAAAACCCTAATCACCTAGCACATTTGAATTAGTAAAAGAGAAGGAGTGTCCACTTCAATGTGCAACTAATTGTCACTAGGTGCTATAGTAGCAGGCTTAGGCCAATCAATAATTTTAATTAAAATTTATTTCAATTTATTATATACTCAAAATCATACAACACATATAACTCCAACCATGTAGACGCCAGTAAAAACTTAAGTGACCGTAAAGGTATTTTAAGATGCTTTATTTGGACTTCTACCAATCTGGTACCAATTGTACCATAGTACCATCTGGATTTGGAATCAAAGGATCTGGTTTCAGATTTTTGCCCTGCTAGTACAGATAGATAGACAGATAGATAGACAGACAAACAGACAGACAGACAGACAGACAGACAGATAGATAGATAGATAGATAGATAGATAGATGTGCATACGTGTGTGTATACATATATATACATATATATGTAATACCTCATCTATAAAAGAAAGGAATTAAACTTGCCTCTCAGCTTCAATAGCCCATGATCCTACGATCTGCCTGTACAATGCATCTCTTCTACAACATGGCTCATTTCATAGATTAAGATTAACTATGGACCAAATCATATCTCACCCAACCCATTTTAAAGCCAAAGAACATACAAAAGGCATAGTGGCAATTAATTTAGATTATCTGAAAATTATCCAAAAATGGATATTAAAGTAACCCACCTGATAGGATGATTAACATATTCAAAACTGTCATCTTCACCTTCTGCAGAGTTAAGGCTATAGAGGGCTTTAAGTGCTTCTGGAAAAATTGACATATTTCCAAGACACTAACAAAGAAGAAAAATAGTCATTAAGTGTTAATGCAAGCATACCTATTACTGCCCATTAAGCTCAAGCTTCAAGAAATAATATTTCAAGTACTTCAAGAAATAGTAAGGATTAAGTCAAAAAAAGAGTTGCAACATAGATGATCACCATCTCTGTATTTTCTATTTTTCTGGGACAGAAGAAAGAATAAGACTGAAATCCATAGATAATTTCAAGTCTTATTTTAGCCAAGAGTCTTTGTCCAAAACAAAACAAAAAAAATTAACTAAAGTTGAGCTTTACCAAATTCCTGAATTAAAGCCCTAAGTCAATACTCCAAGGGAAACAGGAAAATGACTCTAGTTTTTTGAAGGCTATGTTGGAAAAAACAACACTGGCAGGTCCCACCAATCCAGAAAGGCTTTGAGAATAATCATGGTGATAGATTTTTGTACCTGCTCCCTGAGTATTATCCTAGCCAGGTTGAAAGAAACTCATCACGGAAGATTAGCGACCAGGTGATTTCTTCTGTGCCACTGCTATTCATGAAGAATATCATCTACTAAGGCTTAGAGGAATAGTAATCTGTCATTGGAAACAGTGCCCATAAGAATAAAATCACCGATCATTTGTTATCTTAAAAGGCCCTACTCAAGTCTCCCCAGCCTCATCCTCTTTTGAAGTTGTAGAGAAGTAGAAAGTGATTAAAAGGCATAGCAAAAGAAAGAAACTTAGCAATCCTGCAGGAATAAACCTGTTGTCTGTCAAATATTTGATGTAAAATAAACTATTTTTGTTTACTATATCTGGGATGAATATAAATTAATATCAACGTATCAGGAAGACTTTGTCAAGTACTGACACTGTACCAGATACTATACTAAGTTCTGAAGATACAAGGACAAAAGTGAAACAGTCCTTCTCCTCAAGGAATTTATATTCCACAGGGAGGGGGCCTGGAAAGGGGATTACAGGGACTAACAATTAACATAACTGAGGAAGGAGGGATCATGGCTAATGCAAAGTCCATAAATTTAATTTAAATAGAAAAGTTATGAGATGAATTTATTTACCAAAGTCTTGTTCTCTTTCCTCTTTAGTGTTAACCTTACCTTTTCTTTTTTTTTTTAAATCTCCACTTCCAGATTTGTGCCTAGTTCTCAGTATCTGTTGACATTGGTGAATTTTTTAAATTGCTTATTGGATATTCTCTTGGATTACTACTTAAACTGTGTTCTTTTCTGTCATTTGCATTCTCATCCATAGAGACTGTTAATTTCCCATAATTTCCAATACATATAAGGCCAAAAGGTCACTGGATTTGGAATGAGAACACCTGTTTTCCAATCTGGTTCAACTACTTACAACCTGTGTGAACCTTCCCAAATTACTTCATCTCTAGGCTTCCCTTTCCTCGTCTATAAAAAGAGAGCTTTCACCAGAAATCCTCTAAGGCTTCTTTCCATTTTAAGACTGTCATCCTCTGATTATAAGATACCCTTAGGGGGCAGAAACCTGGAAGGATGGGCAATACCTAAGAAAATCAGTCTTCTAAATTTATAATCATATCTTGTTTTGAATTGAATTTATATTATTTGGTTTGGTCATCCATTTTATTCACCAGACATGTCTCCAAATAACTTTTGGCTATTCCTCCAAATCAAATATACTCACACAGGTAAAACACTTAATACCATTGAAGATATTTAAAAGAAAATGCTGTAGGCTTCAAAGTCAATTTCAAAACAGAAAGTTCCAAAAATACTTTGAGTAATGCAAAATGCTTTGAATATCACTGAAATAAGTATATGGGCTCTAAGGATGACTATTTTGAAGGAAACAACAACCTTTTAGATGAATCAGTTGGGGTATATTTGTTTAAAAAGTAATGTATCAGGTTGATTTAAAAACACAGGGCCCACATCCTGAATTCCCTTACAAATGACTCCCCCTGCATCTGACATTTTGGTTGGGCTTCTGGTTTTCATCATTATCATCATCATCCTTCTTTATCTTCATTATTATAACAGTAATCATAATTAGCATTTACATAATACTTCTAAGTTTACAAAGTATCTCATAAATTTAATTTGTTAATTAATTTGTTAATTCTTTATATATGCGATTTGCTATCCCATTTGATCCTCACAACAATGCTGAGAAGTAGATGCTATCATTTTACAAACGAGAAACCTGAGACAAGAAGTTAAGTGACTTACTGAGGACCACACTATTACTAAGTCTCTGGGCTAGGATTTGAATTCAGGTCTTTTTGATTCCAAATCCAGGCACCTAGTTGCCTCTTTCTAGACCTCCCAGATTGCAATCGCCACCCCAATTCTCTGAATTTTACTAGAGTTGCCTGCCTTGCATCTGAATTTTTTGGTACTGCTTCTTCACAGGGGCTTCTCAAATCCTTCCTTGTCAAATTGAGACCTAGTACCCTTTTCCCTTACCTATAGCTTCCTTTAAGGAAAGGAAATAGTTAATACATTCTTCTGGGCCTTTCACTACCAAGAGCTTCACAGTATCAGGACTATGGAATAATGAGATGTGAAATAAACAAGGTCCTTCCAAATAAAACAAAATTAGGTTGGTATAAACTAATTAGAATTGTATTGATTTATGACAAAGATTAAGTTTCCTAATGCCCCAGGAACGAAACTATTGTTTAGTGATCACATTTCGCCAGCAGAAAATAAAGTAATTAGGTGCTGGCTGCTTCCTGGAAAAAAAGGAATCCATTGTTAACATATAAAAGATGACCTTACAGTCCAGCAAGTGGGTTCTATGTGCTTCCAAACACCCCAGGCCCACAGGCTAACCCCCTTTTCCTTCCCCTTGCTAAAGACCTAAAAGGCAGGAGGGAAGATGTGGAAGTCATGATTTCTTTCCTTAATAGAAGAAAGTCAAGAAATGGAGTGATACCAAACTATTAAAGTGTTATAAATAGTTGAATAAACTTCTGCTGTAGTGAATCTAAGCTGGCATCTGACATCTATCAATGTTGAGGAATGCCATATTGTGGTGGAAAGAGCACTGGATGGGAGAGCCTCCAATACTTATCAAAAGTGTGACGTGGGAAAGGTACTTAACCTTGAGCCTCAATTTCCCCATCTCTAAAACGGATACAATAAAAATTATAGTACCTACTTCACAGGGTTGTTAAGAGGAACAGGTGAGATAATATACGCAATTTGCTTTCTAGCTTTGCTGACCAGGTCCAATACAAATTTGTTATCTAATCTCAACAGGGTCTTCAGGGTCTCATAAAAATCTTTCTGCTCTTCTGATTGACACTTTTCATCTCATTCCCTATAGAAGCTGTTCTCCAAACCTCATCTCTCAACGTACCAGCCCATGTTCCTGTGTCTCTCAGAAGAAGACCTTGCCTCAGAGTTTACTGAGAATATGAGCTCCCTGAGGGCAAGGATTTTTTTATTTCTTTTTGCATCCCCAGTACTTAGCACACTGCCTGATACATAGTAAGCTCTTAATAAATATGTATTAAATTGAATTGAACTATGCTTGAACCTTAAAGTGACCTATTAATTTCAGTTATTATAGTGACGCTTAATCCATCTCTCCTTGCGGAGGAAAGCTGGTGGCTAGCACACAGGGCACTAGAGTCTGTTAATATTTCAGCCTTAAAAACAGCATTCAAATAAATTGAGAATGTTGAAGTACGGATGGTTTCAAGAATTCCCCTGCACTAGAATAATTGTTGCAGGGATGTCTTTAATTATATCACGTAAGACAGATTTGTGGGTGATGGAAATGATATAGCAGAGAAAAGATTTGCAGAGAAATGGAGAATCTTTCCAAATGGAGAACTAACTCTTCCTCCACATTAGGGCAGAGCATATAGTAGGTCAGGAATGTTTAGGAAAGATATGTGTTAAATAACTGAGACTTCAAAGAAAATGTAAGATGGCAGAGAACTAGATTAAGAAGCTAAATGACAGACATATGACCTGCTGACTCAAGCAAAAGGAGAAACATTGTAGGACAGGGGAAGACAGGTTAGCTTTTCAAACTCTAGACTGATGAAAACAAGCTTCTCACATCAAATGAATGGAGTAAAGGTCTATATTTTTCAGAGCTTTATAATTTGCTAAATGAAATAACAATAATTAGGAGGCACTAGATGGATGAGAAAAGGGATGAGGCTACCTTTGGTCGTTGGGTGGGTTTATGAGACACTTCTGCCACTGGTTTGAACTGCTTCTGGCTGTCCCTATAGTTCAAGAATGCTTTCTCTTTCTTTCATTCAATATTGATAATGTTTGAAGTAAGAATAACTTTAGAGATCAGTACAACTTGACCAGGATATCTTTTACTATATTCCTGCTGCAATTCTCTTAGAATGGGTATCCCAATGACTGGTAAAGCCCTGACTCAATTGAATTCCATCTCTCATGGTCATACATAATTTTCAGATGAAGACACTGGAGTTTATTGAATAGGGGGAGGGTGTGACTGGATCAGATCAATGTTTTAGGAAGATCAATTTGACAACTGATGGATTAGATTAGGGAGATTAGTAGAAAATGGATTAGATTAGGGAGAGATTTGAGGCAGGAAAATCAATCCGAAAGCTATGGCAATAGTTTGGACATGTAGTGATTAGCCAGGCTCCACAGCTTTGCACTAGATGTCCATCACTACTGACATGTTCTATCTCCTTATTTTCAGATCAAAGTATCCCTTACTTCCTTCAAAACTCTGCTTAAGCACTAGCTTTCCTTGTTCTCTTCCATTCTCCTAACCTTACCCTCCTAATCCCAGCACTGTGCCTCCCTAAACTATATTGTATAACTGATTAAGTAGGACATGCAAAAAGCAATAGCCATCACATGTGTTCATGACTCAGCACTGAGACAGCTAGTTTCTTTTGGGATGAAGAGTACCAACCTGGAAGTTTTCAATAATGTTTGACTTAGTAGTGAAGGGCTTGGCATTTTGACATGAAGAGGCATACTCTTTTTTGGCCACTGAGCAGGGAGACCAGACTTAATGGAAGTGACTCTGTCCTTGGGGCTCCCTTCGCTTTGGACAGCGAATCAGGTTAGAACTGTCTCAAACTGGCCCCAATGTACCAGATAGAGGGCATGATGTGACTATACAAAGTTAGGTTTGGGGCTAATTCATGTGTTCTTTCTTTCCTCACCTAACATGGATATATATCTATTTTGAGATGGACATGAGTATGAGAAGTCCAGAGGGATCCTTTTTGTCAGAGATGCCTAGAAGCAAAAGAAGAAATATCAACTGCTCTTCCAGCACTCTTGAAGAGGTCAACCACTAAAATAAGAAAGCCCAAGCCAGGATTATTTTGCCTGACAATGTGCACTAACTAGAAGATATTTGAGCAATGCAGAAGGTAAAATATGGAATACCTCTTCAGTAGCCTCATGTACTACTTTATGCTTGAATGAATTATCAGCCTCTCAAATGGTTAAAACTGTAGTTATAAACTATGTTAGTGATTACTTATGTCTTGTCACTACATGTTTTGAGTCTTTTGTATCTTTTAATATTTCTTTTGTGTGTAAGAAATAAATACCTCTCACACATGGATCTGATTGTATAATAGCTTTCTATTCCCCCTCCCCCAACTTGGGCTTTGGGGAAATCCTAGGCATGAGCCACAACTTAAACTTTAAACAATTTCTCCCCAGGGTACTGGGGTAAGAGACCTAACAAGCAGAAGAGTGTGAGAAAAGTGAGCATACTCCTCCTATAGTTAGAGGCCAGGCCTCTCCAGGACTGAATCCAGCCAAATCCATGTGCATAGGTCCAGAGCTGAAAGGTGACCCTCAAAGAAAGGGAATGGAGTTCCATGGGCTCAGCATCAATTCTTAATGAGATATTTGTATTAATGTTATATTTATTCTATATATGTGTGTGCCTAGCACAATGCTGTCTCACAATTAGTAAATGCTTATTGACTAATGCAAAGTAGGAAAAATTTTATTTAAAATCTTTTAAATCTTAATGAAATAATCAATAAGAGCTTACATTTTACACTCTGGTTTATAGTTACCAAATACTTTTTGTACATTTGTAGCACACACATTTTATTTTATGCAAAATAATATTAGATATTTTAAATGAGACAATCTACTTACCTGATTCCTATATGTCTATGCTTTATTTTTTATACTTTTAAAAAGAATGGTTGTTACGAATTGTGAAAGGAAAAATTACCTTTGATTTTGCAGTGGTCCTTTTTGCCAGTATTTTGCCAGGGAAACTATTCCTTTAATGGACTTTTCAAAGCATGATAAAGGTTTGACTGCAAGTGAAAAATTATTCTTTTCTCTCTTAACATTGTTTGGTGGTTTTGACATCACACCTTTTCCAGTAGTTACATTAACAGAAGTCTCCCAAGTGAGTGGGAATAAAGCTTTTGTAGAATGTCTCCACTGTGAGTGGTGTAAAAGTAGCCATTCCATCCAGAGAGCTATTTTATTTAATGCAACCTGAATTGCTTTTCGAAGTTCCTGGTGGGTCATGTTGTGAATGGTAGAGCTGTTAAAAAATAGAGCCTTACTGAATTCTCCTCCAAAAACACTCAGCATCTTCCCAGTGCTTTCTATGGCTTGAGAAAGGTTGTTTGGATGCTGTGCAAATGTCAGCAGCAGATTAAATATATCCCAGCCACCCTCCTGTAAATTATTCCCCAAAGCTTCTAAGGATAGAGCAATCACCATTTTCAACTTAGACCCACTTTCTGGACTGTTCTGAGACAGTATTTCATTCCAAAAAAGTACCATTTTGTAAAGTCTTTCCCATTTTGTATCCCAAAGCCAATGATGGGAGGAATTCCGATTAGAATTTAAAAAGTCCACCTGGCTAGTGAGGTTGTTTATTGGCACCAAACAATCAAGAACTTCTCCCATTAGAGTTTTAGTATCTATGGATAAAGTTTGGGTTGCATTTTTTACAGCTAATACAAGATGCTCAAGCTCTACCGAATGGTTTTTTGAATTGATTATAAACACAGTGATTTCTTCCACAATGTCCGAAATGTTTTTAGATTGGTTTAGATATGAAAAAGGAACTAGTTGATTCATTCAGAGGTTTGGATTCTTTTGAAATGATGGGCTTAATCTCAATAGTCCAAGAGGTAACATCTAGCAATGGCTTCAGCAAGTTTTCTACTTGCTGGTAACTTAAAAGCTCTAAATTCCTCATAGAAGTTATTTCATCTACCACACTATGAACAGCTTCGTGCAAAAAAGAGTAGAGCATGTCGAGGAAATTTAACTTTCCCTTTGTCTTGGAAATGAAGTGAGTTTCTAAAATAGTGGCCACTTGAGCTGAGACTTTCTTAGATAGATTAAGGAATTTAACCATGGCATCTACTGATTGTGAAAGAACTCTTAACTCCTTGATATCCTGCAACAACGTGCTCAAAGCCTGAGACATTTCCAAGAAACCTTCTGGAATATCTTTTCCTCCATAGGCAATTATATCTAATAATTGTTTGGCAATTTCTACTAACTTTGAAGGGAAAACATTACCTGCAAAGGTCACTAACTCTGTTAAATTAGTAAGAACAACTTGGAGTGCAGAGGAAAAAGCAGGTAGATCCTCCATACGATAGCTAAAGATAATATCCATGAGGTTGGCTATTTTTGCAGAATTTTTTCTCACAAGTTGAGTTGCAGAGTCAAGATCTTCACTGAGTTCTGCAAGTTCTCAGAATTATTCATCTTGAACAGCACATGAGCCTTATTCATAACCAGCTTAGCATCATTTCCAATGTCATTTCTTATGGGGATAACTCTTAAAATAATATGAACTAAATCTCTGATGAACTTGAGCCTTTGTTGAGTATCAAAATAAAATTCATCATCTAATAGGAATGAGTCTTTAATTAGATCATAAATGTTTTTTCTTAAACTAGAATCATTGCTGGGTAATCTGCCTTCTTCCCTCAGATTAAGAAATAGATCCAGTTTCACAAGGTCTAAAATTTTATCCTCTGGAGAAATACTTCAGAAAAAAAAACATTAAAATATAGTCAAAATATTCCAAAGACTTCAACAAAGGTATGTATTCCAGAAAGGAGGCGAGCTGGTCACATACCAAGAATGAGAGACAATATCTAGACATCCTAAGTGCTGCACTAATATATCCAGGTTATTAAAAGAACCAGAAAAAGACCACTAGCTCATTCAGTGATATCTCCATGCAGAATTTATGGAAAGATAAAGACAAGAATTGCAGAACATTTGAAGGACTGCTAACTTCATTCATGGACGGATCACATATTCATCTAAGTATCTAAAAAAATGGATCAAATGATCTGAATCATAAGAAGAACAAAATTCTTTAAATATCTGGTTTCCAGCCTTATAAACAGAAAATAAACCTTGTGTTTACTACTAAAATGATCTTTTGTTAACAGGTTCTTATTCAAATTAAAATTTTTTAGTGTTAAAAAAAATAAAAATTTCATTAGAAATGAGTCAATGGTAAAGTGATGACCTTGCTTTATTCCCCTATAATATTCTAGGATTTTAGCATGAAGTACTTACCAAAGAAATCATATTCCTCCCCTACAAATTAAAGCTTATATCACTATTTTAGAAATGTTGCAAAATAACTTACAGAATCTGAATATGGAATAACAATCATTGAACACTTACAAGCGGGCCCATCAATTTCAAACTAAAAGGACTAACTCCTTCTTTTTGGAGATCATGGATTAGTTGGAAGGGTCATTAGAGGTCATCTAGTCCAACCCTCTTATTTGATAAATAAGAAAACTGAGACACAAAGAGATAAGGTTTTAGTGCTATTAATACTATAGTACAGTTTTACTATTTATAAGTAAGCCATATATTTATAAATGAATAGTATGCATTGCTATGTATATAAATAGCACTGATCTCATCTAATCATAGTATTTTAAGTGCTATTGATAAGGATTGTACAGTTTCAAAGAATTAGTCAAATCAAAAATTACTTGGTGAAAGGTTTAAGAATAATTGCCTTTTCCTTCCAGAATTTCAAAAGACATCTTCGAAAGAAAAAGATTAAACTGCGGGTGCATAAAAGACAATAAGATCATTTTTGTTTCTCATTTCAAGACATGTATTATAATGGCTTAACTGAAATGAAGCTTTGAATTTGTTTCCCCTCATTATTAATGGGAAGTCAAGATAACTATGGGAAGATTTTATACTTTTTTTTTTAATCTAGACCTTTGATTTTATAAAGGAAAAGAAAATTGAGATAGGCAACTCCTCTGTAATCTATTCTTACAAAGTAACTTGCCTGGAGTTATAAGCTGGTATGGGTGAAAGGAAGGACTTGAGCAAATGTCTTCCTGAGACTACTTTGTCGTGCTGTCCCATTGCTAGATAAACATGTAAAATTAAACTTGCGCTTTCTGAATGGAAGAACTCATTGTTGAGTTCCACACCAAGTTACATTAGACAATGATAATCATTTTTAAACAAGAGAAAGCTCTGAATGGGCATTAACAAAGCCTCTAGAGTTAAGAATGACAGAGGTGTTAGGTAGATGAGGCTCACCAAAATTATGAACCTTGCATTTTTGATAAACCAAAATCCCCCCCATGTAAAATTCATTTTTAAGATGACACAATAGTAAATAGATGATCAAGTTTCATGTAAGAATTCTGGTATTGCAATTTAAACAGACTTCACAAAATGAAATCTATTCCATAAAATGCAATATAGCAGAGAAAACCATACTCATACTCACCTCATCTCAGCCATTATGTCTGTATATAAGTTTTTCAGCAGGGCAAATATTTTGTTCTCAAAATTTCCCTTTGGTGGAAAGAAGAATTTGTGAAAAATTTGCTTGGACAGTTCCATTGTGCTGCTTTGGTGGAGAGAGAGATTTCCCTTATTATTTTCAAACTGCTTATAGTTAAACACCAGATCAATGAAGTCCATTATTGGAAGGTCAGTGTCATTTAAATGCAAGGCTGCTTCCAGAGAACTCCAAGCAAAGTTATTGATTGCACTAATCAGGCTGCTTTCAAAAAGAAATTGAGCAACAGAGAAATTAGCTTGTTTTTCTAGGTTTAACAAATGAGCAACAAATGTAATGTTAATGTTTCCTTCTCTAGAAACATTCTTGAAGTGTTCTAGAAAGTCTGTAATAACATCAGTGTTCAATGCCCTAGCATGAGAGGAACTTTCATTGGTCAAAACAAGTATCAATGTATCTATTATTTTAGAGAAATTTCCATTTTGTACTCATGGAGCAAGTCTCTAGTAACTAATATAACGTCTTCAAGGAATCTAGCCCCATGTAGAAATGAGGAATTAAATTGTTTCAAAAAATAAAAAAGTGGCAATGTTGTATTTTGATCAGCCAGTGACTTTATTATTTGAATTCCTTGTTTGACTGAAGAGAATATATGCCTAATATGAAAATTTTTCCATAGGTCTTGCACAGATCTCTCTGACTCGAGCCATAGCGTTTCAAAGTTGTCAATAATGCTAGTAGTCTTACCAAAACTTAGTAATACTTTTAAGAGATCATTGATTTGGTTTGCTTTAGAAGATAAATGCATTGAAGGATATAGAAAGAAAGTCATGTTTTCCACATCAAAAATAGAGATTAGTTTTGTCCATCTTTTCAAATTTGTGACAGTTTTATTTAGAACTGATGTTTCTTTGTCCACATTCCAGTGCTGGATCTTGTTTAGACCTGTTAACTGTTCCAAAATATCCTTAAATGACAAAGCCTTTGTGAAGTTCATTTTTTTAACTTTTCTATGACTCTCAAAGCAATCCATTTCTCTGGGACTACTATACAATGCATTGAGCAATTAGCATTGCTTGATTTTCCAGAAGATAGGACGTAGGGTGACACCTTGTACCAAAATCCTTGAAGTTCCTTCAGAAGTGAATTATTGACATGGAGTCCCTCAGAAAAATTTATAAGAATAGAATTCCATTCAGCTAATTCATGAAACAAACAGTACACCCTGTGAGTCATCTCTATCCTTAAACTCTCATTTAAACATTGTAAATCATTTTCCAACGGTATCAGCTGGAGGTGATGAAAGAGATCAGCCATCTTGCTATACAACAAAGGGTGCATAGACTTGTGTGTATTACACTTTTCCATTACTATATCCTTGTGAAGCTTTAGAGTTGTATGGTTTGAGCACCAAGTTACAGGAAGGCAACGTAACGCTTCTGCAGCAATATTTGGCTTATCTATAACCAAGTTGGTTATGTCCAAAAGGCCTTTTATGGCACTTGCAAAATCTTCTTTAGTGATGGTGGAAATGCTAGCTCCATGAACCAAGGTGAAACTGTAGACCTCCAGTAAGGCCTCTGTAATGTTCTTGTGAGCTATTCTCTCTAAAAGTCTCAGTCCATCAGGAAGCACATAATATGCATCTACTACCACATCAACTTCATCTTTAGGAAACAAGCGTGAGAGTTGCCACAGGTGGTTAACATTCCAAGAATGTGAGCTGTGTACAAAAGTCTTCATTAATCCAACTAATAAGTCAATCCCCAGACTTCCATCCTCTAAAGTACTGATGTTCTTTAAAAAATCCCAAAGGCTTCCACTAATTTGTTCAAGTTGATCTACCAAGAGCTCTACATCTACATTCTTGAGGTTGCGTATCAGAGTGCTGATCTTCTTCAAAACTTTCATATTCCCTGAATTTTGTGGAATGTTAGGAAGAATAGATGGCAATAAGGAATTCATCATATCCCTTGCCAGTTGAATATCAAGACCTATTGCTTTCATAATTGCATGAATTGGCAAATTTTGCAAATCATGAGAGAAATTAAATGCAAAATAACTTCCTAAATTTTGAATTGAATCACCTAGCAGATTTGCACTTTTTTCCTTTGGCAAATTCGTAAACACCTTTAAAACTTTTCCAATGTCAGATGAATTGTTTTCTAAGATTTTAATAGTAATATTTTTCACAAGTTTTTGAATTTCCCTGAAGAATGCTATTGATTGTCGCAACACAATTTGGAACTGGTTAGGAGAGTTATCTGACTTTTCTAAGGCTCTTATGATTAATTCAGTAAAATTTTTCCAGTTTAGGTCAGATGAAAAATCTAAGGTTCTTGTTAAATTATGTATAATTACTCTGATATGGTCTTCTGAATTATTTAAAATCATTAATATAAAGTCAAGCATTGGCATCTTTTCTTTTTCAAACAATGAAGTAATTACAACTTTTACAAAGTTGGTTATATTTCTAAAGAAAATATCCAGACAGTGCATATCTGAATTATTCAAAGAACAGAAAGGTTTTGTTGAACTTAATATGAAGGTAACAAAATCTAACATCTTTCTCACTGTGATTTTTGTGTTGTTGATATTTCTTGAAGATAAAAACAATTCTAAAAAGTCCTGTGAGTGGCCAAATGAAGAAGTACTATTATATTTGACACCTAGATTTCTAATTATATCTATCCATGCAGTACAGCCTTCTAGTCTACTAATTATATCTTCCGAAGTTAAAATGGATTTAAAAATTGCCAACACACTTAATAATTTCTGTGATGTATTTTTCGGAGCTAAATCACCTTCCATAACTAAATTGGTGATATTCTGTAAAATGCCAGCACAAGACAATAAATCTTGATTATAGGATGTATTTCTAAGAAATCCTATTATCTCTTGTAAAATAGTAAAGGCAATTTCAAATTCTTCTCCAAAGCCTGTTAGAGAATCTCTGTCTATATTTCCTGTTGTATTGCTTAGCTCCATGAAAACTTCAAACAGTGAGTAAAAAAAGTTTCTGCTAATATTAATATTTAATGGGCATTCTTTTAATTTGAGCACTGCATTTTCCATTGTCAAAAGGGATTTATCTACTTTCTCCATAGTTAGTGATTTCATGATGGCTACTGAATTGTCTAGCATAGATGAGAGGCCAGTAAAGGCATTCCAATTTCTGGCATCATCATCTTGATCTATATTTTTTAATAAACTTTTGATAAGTCTTATAAGAATATGGTCAGGAAATATTCTCTGGCAGACTTCAAGACGTTCAAAACTATTTCCCAGTTCTGAAGAAAGTTCCCTGAGGCCAATCTGGAGAGAAGGAAAAAACTTGGAATCAAATTTTAAGACCTGAGACATGGTATCCCAGATGTCAAACCACACTTGGACCCACGAAAAGGTACACTGCATAGCTACAGATTCATTAACGACAATATTTTCTGTTGTATTTGAAAGCATTTGGATCCAAGGAAGGATTAGAGGATTTCTCACATCCATTGACCCATTCAAAGAAAGAAGCATATCATCCAAATCAAAGCACTGATTATTCAAGTGTCCTTCTACGGAGTTGTTGAAAAGTTGATTCAGATAGTGAAGTAAAGATATCCGAAAACTTTTATCTCTTATGAGCAACTGTTTCAGACTCATAGAGTTGCATATATCATTTTTGTTTCTTGGCCTTCCTTAGGGATCAGGGATGTGACTTGAAGCTCCAGATAGTTATAAACTGAAAAGAGCTTTTCACACAGAGATTCTTCAAAGATTCTATCAAGAAAGCTTGTAACTTCAGAGAGAAATTCAAAAGCTTTGCTCACGTCTTGAAAATTGAACTCCTTGATGATAGCAGAAATGCTTTTTGAAATTTGAATAAAGAAAGTTAACAAAGGCTCTTTACTCTGAAAACTGGAGATGAACTGATAAATATCTTGGTAAATTGAAGAATATAATCGAAGAACTACAACAGAATCCTTGTCCTGAAAGACATTGTGATAGATTTGAGTCAAAATGTTTTCCAAGTACTGTTTTTGAGAAACAGAAAATGATGAGGAAAGCATAGATATGTTTTGTAGGGTATAAGCTGTATTCAGAGCAGCAGTGACCTGTTCTTGCTTAACTAATCCAAGCTCATAGAGACTGTTTATGACAACTTCACTTAAATGTACAAAATCCAGGTTTAAATTTTCTGACTCGGATAAATTATGGAAATGCAGAGAAAAGTTGAAGTTTTTTCCAAGGACTCTTTGATTTTCTGGAATAGACAAATTTAAAAGAGTAGATAAAGTTTCCAATTTGTCCTTTTCTCTTTTTGGGATGCCATACATCCATAGTCTAAAAGCTTAGGATGAATTTCATAAAGTATTAATTCCAAGATTCTCAAAAATCCTCCATATTCATTCCTTTTCCAGAGGGTTGAAACAACGTGTATTTTCTCTATAACCTCCTCCCTAATTTCAGAAAATTTCTGAGTATTAAGAGATGGCTCAGCCTCTGAACTTCTAGAAGTATTCATCCACCAAAAAGTCTTATTCCAGATAACTTCAGTGAGGTTTGCAAGATTCTGGAATGTAGGATGACTGGATGAGACCAAAGATCCAGGCAGTATCATTTTTTCCATAAAGTCTACAAAGGATAGCCAAAAGGTTGTCGCTTCATCTTCATAGGCATGTGACTTCTTTTCCATCTCCAGAAGATCCCTGCTATACTCCAAAATCCTGAAATATTAAAACATAGGTGTGTTTTAAAGCATCAACCAATAATGTTATCAAGTTTCAAATATATTTATAGCAACACAAAAATGAATTTCCATACACATATCTTCCTTGTAACAGATAAGAATTTTTGCAAATATTTTAGTTGCATATCTTTAGTTTAAATGCTCTTGTCAGTAAAGAAAATGATAATTTAAAAGTTATTTTAAAATAGCAAAGTTCATTTTTTATGTCCAAAGTAAGAAGGTATCACTAAAATATTGGTAAGTTTTTCATTCTGGTGAAACAATAAGACTCAATTCTTCAATGATTCTTAGGACCTATTCTTATGGTTGTGGTCGTTATTAGAATTAGGCCTGAGAGATAAATCTTAAGCCATTCTCAAGAGAAAGCTCTCACTTTTCTGACAGCCACACCAAGTTTTTTGATGTTCAGGGAATAAGTTAATCTTTTCCATAATTTCTATGTGGTCACTGTATAGCAATGTGTTAAACTCAGGGCCCATATACTGAGTCCACAAAACTCCCAGTGTAGACACAAACCAGATTAAAATGTAATTGGGAAATGTTTAACAAAATAAGTAAAAATACAATGCAACACAGACTATATAATTTTGCGGTGGTCTAAATAAATTTATGGCCTTTCAGGGACCCATTTCTATTTGAGTTCGACACTACTAGGGTACAGGGCAGTGTGTATCTCTAAGTTTAACCTTTCATATTAAAACCACTGGTTGTGGTGGCCATGAATATCCCTAAAGAAGTTCTTTTTATCTTATGAAATCAAACCACTTTATCTAGCCAACAGTTCTTCATCTCCAAAAAGAATCATGGGAAGACCTTGAAGGTGAATAATGAACTTACCTAGACACTGACATCCTTGGAGATTTCAGCAAATTTTTCAGAAACACAAAGTAAGTATCAGCATGGCTTTCCAATCCAGTTTTACTCCCTTACAAGGCGATTTTTCAAAAGTAGCTAGATGGAAAATTAATTTAAGGATTTGACTTTTAGTATGAGGAACAATAGCAAATCCTGAGTAAAAGGTATAGGATTGCTATCCTTCTGCCAGGGAAGTCTAATGTACTGAAAATAGAAATGCTGAAAACCTCTGAGTCTGGAAAAGTTCTTTACAGCCTAGATTATAATTCTATATAGCAATAACATCATAACTGTCTCCATGTGAATGATTTGATCTGTGCTATTTACATGAGAGATATTTATTTATCTCACTTACGAAGGTGGCCCTAGTTATATACCCCACTCAGTTAGTAAGACTGAATTCAGGAACTTATCTAAACTGTTTTGCATTGCAAATGTATCCCTTCTACTATTATTTTCTATAGCACTAAACAAAACTTCCTCTTTGATTACACTCTAACTCCAGAATAACATAATAAATTCTTGTCATGTGACTCATGGATACATATATTTCATTCTAGCCAATGCTGGAAGGAGTTCTTAACCTGAGGTCTGTGTATTTGTGTGTTTACATGTGTAACTGCCTCAATGTAATGCTATGTGTTTTATTTTGCACAATTAAGAATGTTATTCAGAGAAGATTTTGAGGCTTAATAAGACTTCCCAAGGAGGTATGCAGTAAGCACTTAATAATTGTTAGTTTACTAACTTTAACTTATTATTTGGAGAGATATCCCTCATTTTCTTTCTTGGAGGGGATGGTCCAGGCCTGTAATTTTATCAGTGTAGAGAACACCTCTTGTGAAAATTGTCTCCTCCAGTGGAAATCAGCAACTGTTAGCATAGTTTAGATTCTTAAAGATTTGCATAGGAAATTGAGAGGTTAAATGATTTACTTATGGTCATGATGTTTTATTTCATAGGCACTATACAAACATAGGTCTTCCTGACTCCAACAACAGACCGTTATTGAATACACTATATCTCCACTCATAGTCCCATTTTTAAGGAAAAGTACAATGGCTCAAATACATTAAATTACTTGCCCAAGGTCACATCAGTAATAATTGACAGGGCTTAAATCTAGCATAGATTTAGAGATGAATGGGACTTCAGAAATCCACTGGTCCAACCTTTCATTTTCCAAATGACGAAAGGAAGCTGAATGAGGGTAAGTGATTTGTCCACGATCACATAATTAACAAGCAACAGGACTAAATATTGAACTCAGAATACAGGCTTCAAATTTATCCTTTTTTCTACCATATTCTTTCCCATCATATTGCATCATTAAATATCAAAACATTTCTGTGTTAAAATTTAATCTGCTTTTTGGCTTACCAGATGCACCTCTTTGGAAATTTTCTTGCTTATTCACATAATGAGCAACTTCACATGTTTTCCTGAGAAATTCTGTTAAGTTTTTCCAGGAGTTATTTTGTTCCAGAGCAAATTGGACTTCTTCCAATGTATGGAAAACCCTAAAAATTAAATGCAACTCTTATAAGGCAAAGTAATTAATGGTAGTTTTATGAAGAAAGGTGTTGTATTATAATTACTACCATTTGAATCTGATTGTTACCTTCCCTTATCCTCATGTCTGAGTAAATTAATTTGGCTACAGCCCGTATGATAAAAACAAGGCACTTTGTTCCCGATGATTTAGGTGCCTTTTTTGTGTGTGAGAATGGCTCCATGTCATTCATCTTCATACTCCCAGCCATCATTTAATAAATGTTTGCTGAATTAATGAATAAGGAAAAAGCTTTATGAAAAAAAGATGGCATTTGAAGAGAACATGGGAGAATTGGTGGGAATTCTGGAGGTAGAAATCCAAAAGAAGGACATTCTAGGTTAAAAGGACAAAGGCTATTTAGGAAACAACATATAGTCAGTCTGACAAAAGGGTGGGATACAGATAAGTGAATAGGTGGAAATACGGCTGGAATAGCAAGCTATGGCCATATTATGGAAAGCTTTGAATGCCATGCTGAACTAAAACCTGTGGAAGCCTGTTAAAAAAAAAAACCTCCTCTTTAGTTCAATTGAACATTTCAGGAGATAAATATTTCTCCAGTCCTTCATCATCATCATTGTGGTGCCCACTATGAACAGGCATTGATTAAGAACCTTCAATATGACAGGCACTAATACTAAGTGCTAGGGATACAGAGAAAGACCAAAATATAGTACCTGTCCTCTAAGGAGCTTGTCTTCTAATGAGGGAGATAATATGCAAATAACAATATGCAAACAAGATGTATGCAGGATAAATGATAGGAAATCTGAGAAGGAAGAGAGAACTGGGAAAGTTTTCTTTAAGGAGCTGGAACCTGAGCTGAGACTTGAAGGAATCTAGACAGAGATGAGGAAGAAGAAAGTTTCAGGCATGGGGGACAACTGGCAAAAGTGTCTTCCATATTTTCCTCCTTTTCTTGGATCTAACCCCTTTCTTTTAGAAAAATGTATAAAAAGTAAAGAACAAAAGCTAAAGGCCTGGTGGTAACCAAACTTAGAGAAATATCTCACGCCTAGTCAAGACCTTTGCTTTCCTCCGTTACTTGAAGGAATTAGAGTTATGGTTTATCTATGGTTTATCACCATTTCGTAAGGTGATTAACATTGGGGTTCTTAAAAATTTTTTGTGTCATGAACCCATTTGGCAGTCTGGCCAGTACAGAAATATTACCAAATCAATGCTACCATTACCTCTGGAAATAGATTGCCACTCACCAACTTTTTAACTTCCCAAACCACAATGCCTTTCCCTGGCCACCATCCTTGATACATGTTGTCTCCCCCATTAGCATATGATCTCCCTGTGAGAAAATGGCAGAATAATACAGGAAATGCTGGGCTCTCCAAAATTCTCCCACACTTTGAGTGGCAGAAATAATTAAAAGTTGGAGTAAAGCAGTTATCCTCCTAAGACAACTTGAGAAGTCCTTAGGAAAGACCCAACTCCTGGGTGGAAATTCTACCCAATTGAAGTATAAATGCCTCCAGGCAGACTCTGCTGAATCAATATACAACAAGCCCTGGCGACAGGTGGAGGTAGCCTCAGCTTTAAGGACTTTCACACTTTCACACTTGAACAATGTGGGGATCAGACAGATGAGCCCAGAAAGATTGAAGCATCCTGTTATGTCAATGGATGTCAGGCCCAGGTATGCTGACCAGATACAGTGTGGCTGTGGACAAGGAAGAGCGAGCACAGGCCCAGTGAGTATGGTAGCAGAGGGGCAGAGACTCTGCTGGCTGAGAGCACAGGACGAAGAGCAGAGTCACCGGTTTCAGTTCCAGGGCAAAGGCTGCACTGTTTGTAGCTGCTGGACAGACAGCAGGGAGCAAGAGTGTTTGCAGTGACAACATGGCCGGGGGCCCTAGCTATAACTCAGAAATAGAGAGTGCCCGAGGTTGAGCCTGTAGACAGAGCTCAGAAAACAACAACATGAAAAACCTAAAATCTGAGGCAACATCCCCTGCAGCTCAGGACCAGAACTTGACTATAACAAGCTGCTAAAAAAAAAAAATGAAATAATGAGTAAGCAAAGGAGAAAGAACCTGACCATAGAGAGTTGCTATGGGGATTGAGAAGATCTGGGTTCATACTCAGAAAAAGACAGAGAAGTTTAAAAAGCCACTCCTACTTCAAAGAAAAATGGCAAATGGCCACAAGCCCAAAATGAGTCTTTGAAGAGCTTTAAATGGACTTTAAAAGTCAAATAAGAAAGATGAGGAAAAATTAAGAAAAAAAATTAAGAGCAATCCAAGAAAATAAAGTAAACAGTGTGAAATGGAAATTCATGGTGTTATACTGAGTTCTCTTTCTGTGTTGAGCTGTATATGTGGAAATACTCTCTTTTTTGTCTTTTTGTACTTAACTTCAAAATTGACAAACATTTTTAAAAAAAATTTTTTAAAGAATATAATCTCCCTGAGGGCAGGAATTGTCATTTTTGTATTTTTATCCCTAATGCTTAGCCATGCTTGCTCATAGTAAGCAATTAATAAATGATTTTCATTCATTCATTTAGGACTTTTTTAGAAAATGAAAAATTTAGTGTCTGTCTACCAAGCTGATCAGCATATAGATTCTTCTAGGTTGGCAGGTTGTAGCTCAAATTAACAAACTTACCTCAAAGAAAACTGGGCCCTTTGTACCATGGATGCCTCCAAACAAGAGGCATATTGTGATAGCTATCAAGGATAAATTTAGATTATTCTGATTGATGCATTTCTTAAAATACTGTTGAAATCATTTAGGCTGCCAAACATCTGATTTTTTTTTTAGTAACATGGTATACTTACAATGTGGAAACATCTTTTCCTGGCAGTAAATGAAGGAGATATTCTCCCCAGGCGATAGCTGGGTACTCAAGGACTGATACAACCAAGAACAAAGTGTTACACTCTCTGCAAGTTGCTGTTCAATTTCTTGCCAGCCCAGAAAATCTTCAGTTATTGCAATGGGCTGAGGTGCTCGTCCAAAGAGCACCTCCTGAAAAATCTCATCCTAAATAGGAAAGAAGAAAGCTTGTGATAAGTAATCAAATTAACACCCAATAACTTTGAAATCAGTGCCCTTCTGCTCTTACCTAACATTACAACTCAGAAGAGCAAGGTGATCATTGAAACTACAAAGTTCAAAGAACATGAAGAAGCCCCTTAATCCTGATGATAAATGTTTTAAATCCACAATATTTCTTTTACTCTGCCCCTTCAAATTACTAGATTCAAAGTAAACATTATAATGCATTAATGGAAAAAAAATCAGTAAGAAAGAAGTCAAGAACTGGTTGAAGAGTCAAACCTTTTACAATTAGGTCTTTCTTAATTTCTTGTACTCAGATTAATTTAATTGTCATTAACAGACATTTATTGAACACCTGCAAAATGGGACTTTGACTTTGGGAAGACAAGACAGGTATGAGATATAGGGAGGAGTACAGTCATCCATCGTTGTTCATTGTTCATCCTTTGTTTTCAGAGGACTAATGACATCATGGGGTGATGTCTTGACTTAAACACAAATTGGATTTAAATGAGGCAGAGTTGCACAAAGTCATCAGTTTCACTCTCTCTTCCAGAGAGAGTCCAGTGGCAGATGACTGGCAATGGCCCAGACAGTGGATGACTTGGTGTCTTCAATGTCTGACTGAGCTCTAAGCACTCCACAGTACCTGCTTCAGCCAACTTCGTGGCCATTGGAACAAATTGTTCCAACCTATTCCACCAGAGAAGTCTTCACATGTTTGGGATAGATATTCCCTTAACTCACCGAGGGGTCTGAGACATATTGGTTATCCTCAACCTCATTTAGCCCATCTGCCAAGACAGTTTTACCAGGGTGTGGACATTGCACATGCTACAGTTTCTTGGAGCCATAGGTGAGAGCTAAATGCCACGTAGATACCAAAGGTGGATAAGCAGCCCTGAAAAGGGTCAACAAGTCCTCACAATAGAAGTTCTTGTCTCCCTGCCATGGAGACCCATAACTAGGGCAAGGTGACCATAGCTCTGCTCAAAGCGTCAAAATTTGAAGGATATTGAAAACACTTGCAATCCTTCTACATCTTTTCAACAACTGACATTAGCAAACTGTTTTTGATGGCCTGTAATTTCACTAGTTTAGGAAATTCCTTGGCAAATCAGTACCTCCTCTGTAACATATATAGTGTTAAGAATTGCCTGGGGCATTGAGAGTTTTAAGCCTTGTCCAGGAACACATAATTAGTATATATCAGAAATAGGACTCCTACCCAGATTTTCCTGAATTGGAGGCCAGATCTCTGTTCACTGATCCGTATTTATTCTCAGTACACTGTTGGCAAAAATAATCATCTAAAATAGGTAGCTACCTGATGATGATAAACTTCCTTACTCATGACCAATATGATGTGAGGTTGGGTCTTTCCTAAGGACTTCTCAAGTTGTCTTAGGAGGATAACTGCTTTACTCCAACTTGTAATTATTTCTACAACTCAAAGTTCACTTTGAAATGATATCTAATCTTGTTTGTGGGAGAATTTTGGAGAGCCCAGTATTTCCTGTATTATTCTACCATTTTCCCACAAGGAGATTATATGCTAATTGGGGAGACAACATATATCAAGGAGTGGTGGCCAGGGAAAGGCATGACCAGGTGAGTTTCTCTATAGTTCTCCCACTCTGTTTCCCCTCCCCAACAAGTGAATTGCTCCAGCTATCACAATAGTTAGTCTGCGGTTCATAATTTATCTTTAGAGCTAGAAGGATCCTTGAAGATAATTTAATACAACCTCCTAATTCCACAGGTGAGGAAACTGACACTCGGAGAGGTTAAGTGACTTCCCCCAGAATCAAACAGCTTAATAAGTATGATGTAGAATTTGAACCCAGGTTTTCCTAATCCCAAGTCCATTGCTCTACACACTATAACATCCCACTTCAAAATATATGTATATATAAAGAGTCAGGAAATGGACTCAGACCCTCATGTTTTAAGCCTTTCACTATTTAAAACCTTCTATCACGGTATTGCTATAAAAAAGAATTATGTGCTAAGTATGGAAATAAGTGGCATAGACAATAAATGTTATTAATTCAGAGAGGGGAGTGATTATTGAGGACCGAGATAGTTAAGGAATGTTTCCAAAGGAGTAGTAGACCTTAGAAAAGCAAAGCTGAAGGAGGAAAGCTCTCAGCACAGTGGGGCAGGAAAGTATATGATGTGTAGAGGGGTAATGAGTAGACCGATTCTTCCAAGGTAGGACCACAATAGAGATAAGTTTGAAGAGATAGAATTGGAGAATTTTTAGCTCAAACCTGGAGAATATCCAGTCCAACTCCACTCTGACTGAAAAGGATCATTTTGTAGATGAGGAAACAGAGGCCCAAAGAAAGTGCATAGCTTGGGACATTATTGTGGAGGTGAAGGACCTTTAATGTTAGGCAAAGAGTTTGGACTTCATCTTATATGCCAAGGATTTAAACCTGAACATCCTCCCAATGCTTTAATTTTGCCCCAAGGTATAATATACAACTCTTCCTCCCTTGAACAATCAACCAAGCATTTATTAAGCAACTGTGCTAAGTAGTGAGGATATAAAAATAAAAGTGAAATCATTTCGGCCCCCACGAAGTATACATTCTATTGGGGAAGACAGTGTGTGTGTGTGTGCGCGCGCGCAAAACACATATACATATATGTGTATAAATCTTTGAAAAGAGAGAAAGGGAAACAAATGTTTTGATGGTGGAATATACATAGGTAATTATTATCAATATACAATAAGAATATAGTGTGGGTTTAAGATTCCTTCTCTAAGCGAGAGGAAGCTATTAAAGAGTTTGAGGAAGGGAAAATGTGTGTAAAATGATTCATTAAGAAGATTAATGTGATACTGGTAAGTATGATAAAATGAAGAGAAGAAAGGCCAATGAAGAGACTACAGAAATGACAATCAATAAATCATTCAACAACCGCTTACTAAATTTGTACCATGTGCCAGGTACTGGGGTAGATGCTAGAGGTACGAAGACAAATGCATCTATCCCTGCTCTCAAAGAACTTATGTTCTATAACAGGAGATACATATATACATACACACACATATATACATACATATACACTCACATACACATATTGGTATATATATACGTGTGTGTGTGTGTGTGTGTATATGTGTTGTCATTCAGTCATTTTAATCATGGCCCACTCTTCATGACTCCATTTAATGTTTTCTTGGCAAAGATACTGGCGTGGCTCTCCATTTCCTTCTCCAGCTCATTTTACAGATGAGGAATAGAGGCAAACAGGCTTAAGTGACTTGCTCAGGGTCACAAAGATAGTAAGTGTCTGAGGCTAAATTTGAATTCAGGAAGATGAGTTCTCCTGATTTCAGGCCCAACACTCTATCCACTGTACCATCTAGCTGTCCCATCTGTGTCCCATCTACATATACATATATGTATTTTGTATCTACACAAGCATATATGCACATATAAATACATGTACATATACACATACACAAAATAAATACAAAGTCATTGGGGTGGGAAGGAGGCACTCTTAGCTGTATTTCAGGCATGAAATTATGGACACAGTAGGTCTAATTTGTTATAATGGCAATGATAGTAGATAGATTCCAGAGGCTTTCCCAGTACCTGACTGGATATGAGAGAAGAGGGAAAGACTAGGACATCATCTCATAGCTTCAGGCTTAGGTGATTAATTATAATATTAATAGAAATGGAGAAATCTTGATTAAAAAATATATTCTGGGGCAGCCAGGTGGGAGCAATGAAGAGTTTGGTGAAATTTTAAATGATTGTTATACATTTTTTTAAATTATATATAATTTTTCTTTAAGACTGCTTCTCTAAGCAAGGCATCCAAATAAAGTTGTCCAATAGACAACTGGAGATGTAAAACTGAAGCTCAGAAAAGAGGCGAAAGATAGATTGGGGATGGGGAAGAGAATAGAGGGAGACATCTGCACAGAGGTTATAGTTGAAAGCTTAAGCAATAGACGAGATTCCCAAGGTAAATAAGAAAAAAGAACAAAGTACCAAAGCTTGAGCCTTAGCAGATGACTTCATTGAGTGACTAAGAAAGGCAAAAAAAAGAAAGAACCTAAGAAGTAGAAGGAAAACAAGTACAGCATAATATCAGGTAACTCTAGGGAGGAAAGAATTTCCAAAAGGAACCATCATTCATGGTGAACAGCATAGAGAGATCAAGAAGAATGATGATTATGAAAAGCCACTGCATCAGAGATTAGGAAGTTAATGATAACTTATAGATATCAATGTCAGTGGAGTGATGGAAGCTAGATTGTTTGGAATGATCTACCATTTCCAGACCTCTGTATTGGTACCATACTGACATTTGCTTACTTAAAATTCCTTCAATCCATTTCCACCACCTTCTCTCCATTCTTGTCATGGCCATTCACTAATAGCACAGAAGAATGAAAGAGATCTTAGAGATTATGTAGCCCAATGCCTCATTTTACAAATGAGGAATGTTAAGAAGTCGCAAGGGTAAGCAAGAAGTGTCAGAGTGAGATTTAAACTCAGGTCTTCTGACTCTAATTCCATTTTCTACTTTGTATTCTCTCTAAGATGCTGTCCCATTTTCTTTAATGACTTCTGCACTTGGCTCACAATCTTCTCCGTGTCATGTTTTTCTTCTCAGTGTCTTCAATATTCACATCAAAGTCCCTTCTAACATTCAGGTCTTAGTATCTTGATTACCTCCATTCCTGTAGTCCCCATTTCCACTCACTTTCATCAATTCACTGGAGATTTGGGAGTCATTCCTTAGACATCACGATTACTTGTAACAGTTCTATCTCTAGGAGAGGCTTATAGAGTAATGACCAAAAGATTTGGCTTTAATTTCCCCAATGGTGGTGTCAGGGATTGGGATCGGGATAAAATAAATGATAGACAAGGTCTCTCCTAGTTCTAAAGTTCTGTGATTTTGTGCTTTTAAACTCTGAAATTCTTCTCCCTATTTCCTCTATCAATCCCACGCCATTACTTCTGCTGAATCTACTTACTGTCTTCATTATGATTGGTTCCTGTGCCCTCCCCACTCTCTTAGTCCATTAGTTCCCATCCTGGTTTCACTTTTTTCCAATTTTAAATCAACTTCCTTTTCCTCATTTGTTAAATGGGGGGGGGGGGTAACTAAGTGATTTATAAATTTCTTTCCAGTTCTAAATCCCCATATCCTGGACATGCCATTCACTATGCCCATAATGCCCTCCCCTATAATCACCTCTTGAAATTTTATTTCACGTCTTCTTACCAGCTGAATTGCTGCTGAGACAAGAGACTATAGCCTAAAAAATAAGTTTTCTATCACTAGAACCCACCCCCCCCAAGCCCTATTGTTTTGATTGGTGAGTTCTTCTTGAGGCCCACTAATTCTAGGCAGGCTCCAGCAACACTTCACTTTACTCCCTGATCATTTTCTACCAGACACATTACTATTACCATTTCATCTACCCTTTTCCACCCCCACCTCCCAGTTCTATAAACATTAATCAAATTAACACTGCTATTGCACTGGAAAGATAGTGTATTCTCCTTCAGCCTATTCTCCCATGACTTCATTCGTCATTCAAGCATCTTTCCAAATTACAATACCCATCTGTAACCACCCTTTTCCTGTATGTGTTATTCCTTGTCTCCTCATTTAAACATAATGAGAGCCTGGGTTGACTTCACTTTTGTATTCACATCTCCAATCTTAGCACAGTGGTTGGCACAAAGCAACCAATTAACTTTTTTTCATTAATCTATTCATTCTTACTCATCCTTCAGGATCCAACTCAAATACAACCTCCTCCTGTGTGACCTTGGACAAGTCACTTAACCCCAATTGCTTAAAAAAAAAATGCAACCTCCTCCATGAAGTCTTCCTTGATCCATACAATTCATCTTCCTCAGTTCCCACACAACACTTTGAATCTCTCTTACCTGCCTATATGTCTTTATTTATCTGTATTTCCTATGTATTACATAGAGTAGGCTATTGAACACTAAATAAATGAATTTATTACAGAGGTACTTTTTAACTGTTTATGCACATACTCAGAAATTTTCTTTATACCTTAAGAATGTGCCTTTTTCATCTTGATGGCAGTGGAAAGAGCACTGACCTCAGCTTCTGCTGCAAATGAAAGGGTTGACTAGATGATTCCCAAAGTCCCTCCAGCTTTTAATCTCTGACCATATGCATATAAAATATATAATTAACAATTAGTTTAATCCCCAAAATGAGAAAATGAGCCAGTACATCTTCTAAGGTATAAATGGTGAGGAAAATACTTACAACCTCTTTGACTGAATGGAGTAGATTATATAAAAAGATTGTCTCATTGGAAGAATGAGAGTGCCCCCTTAGTATTTTCATGATTTTGGAGTTCTCTGGAACAGTAAAGGCCTCTTCAGGAACAAAAGGTACATCTTGGCTTGTGTAAGGGTAATTCTTTGTCAGCATCTAAAATATTAATAAGAGTATAGAGAAAATCAGAGAATTCAGAAGCCCTTTTCATAATTGTCATCCCAATGCTAGTGATGAAAACGTAAATTTTCAAAATAAAAGTTTAAAGTGAAAACCAGAAAGCCTTCAAAAGCTATCCACTACTCTATGCCTTTAACAAACACAACTTAAGAACACAATTTAACAATAAGAACAGGCCTGAATATTTCATAAGTCCCTTGTAGGTTTTATGTAAATGTTTTTTTTTAAATCTTTCACTATGGCTTACCTCTTTTAAATCCCTGAAGAATGTGTCCATTTCCAGTTGCAATGAGCTCAAGTCATCTGTTTCAGAAAATGGAGCCAATCTTTCCAGTTTACTTAGAACTTCTATAAGATTATACAGATGTATAGAAGAGAAGAAAGTTTATTAAATAAAGTCTATGTGGCTTTCAAATGTATCGATATGCTGAATTCTTAAACTGAACATGTTTTTGTAAGTTTACCCATATACTTTATAACTATTTGTCACTGTAACAAAAAAAGCAATTAATGCAATTATTATTAATACAATAAATCTCTTGAGACTGTCTGGAGCCTGGGAAAGATATTTCAAGCAACAAAAATGTATAAAATGAGGGAACTCTCTAATTCCAAGTGTTAGTGCTGATGATTTGCATCTGGAGGGACTTCATCTTCAATGGTCTCTTTCTATTCCTAAAAGCGAACTGACCAAAGTCCTACTACTCGAAGAAAGGTGAAGGCAGTGGCCACTGCAGCCTCATTACTTACATCAGTACAAGTTCAGAGATAACACTTTTTTTTCTTAATTCCAGTTGATAACCCTAAATGGTAGCCAGCTAGAAGAATAAGAGAATGTAGGTCTATAGCACTCTCAACTTGGCTGAGCAGTTTCATTTTCCTTTTCAAAGACCATTGACAGGCACCTGAGTTGAAATAATTCTAAATCCTACTTCTCTAATACCACGAATACACTGGATGACAGATTTTAGATCCAGTAGATTGAAACAGCATGCTGGTACTAGGCAGATGAAATTTAGTATGGATTAAAAAAAAACACGCAGACACGGCTAGGAAAAGTCACTGATTACAAAAACCTGGGGATTCTAGAGGATGACCATGTCAACATAAGGCAAAATCAAAATATGAAGACGAAAGAGTGAATGCAATATTAGATGACATTAATAGCACTGCCCAGAGCAAGTAAATTGATAGCCTCAATATACTCAATATAATGACATCTGCAGTATTGGAACATGTCCCAAAGGAAGCAACGAGAGAGTGAAGAAATTCAAAAGCCTAGCATCAGAAACCGGTTGAAAGAAATGAGATGGTTGGTATAGCCTAGAAAAAGGGAAGACTGAGAGAAGACAAGGAAAGTCTTCAAATATTTGAAGGACTGCTTTGTGGAAAGGATATCAGACTAGAAGACAGAACTAGGAACTAAGACACTCAAGTTAAATTCAAAATCATGGAAAACTAGTAATTAGTAAGCAAAATGGAAGGAATGCCTTCCGGAGAGGGAGGAAGTTGTTAGTGAGAACTAGAAAACCATTTTGCAGGCTTGATAGTAGAGACTATTTCTGTTCAGACATGAGTTGGATTTGGTCATCTCTGCAGGTCTCTTCTTCATTTGCAGTCTTACATTTCTTTACTCTTTATTGTTCTCTCCACACTCTTTTCTTTGACGTTAACCATGACGCAAACTTCCATGGAAGAAAAACTATCTTTGTGGATATTGTTGCCCAGGAAGCATAGCTCTTCTGTGATACAAACACCAATGGCTCCAACTTTCTTTGCTAAACGTAGCTCATAGATCCTTCGCTTGAGGAACACCTCCCCCCTTCAGAAAAGGGGCTTGACAATTCCATATAGGCCATCTGTAATAGAACAATTCCTGTCCCTCCTACAGAAAGCCTAGACTTGCCACTGCATAATAAAGACTTTTAAATTAAAATCCACTACTACCAACAGCATGACAGTCACAGAATCAGTCTCATCATTATCATTTTTATATTGTTTTGCAATAAAAGTGAATTGTGACATTACGTATTGGGCCCTGGTTTTATAAACTTTGGATGATCCAGAGAGTATCACAAAATTTAATAAATATGTATACTAGAGAGCCGAATTATTTCCCAGATTGGCAATGTTATCAGTCGATTCCATTCTCTCTTATTAATCAATCCCATATTTGTTTATTCATTGATCTCGTGTCGGCTATTAGTGAGTGTGCGGCAAGCAACAGATAAGTTTTACCTCGGATGAAATGTAAATTCTTGATGATCACATTTCTGAGGGCTCCATTTACCAGAAGCAATCTTTTCACAGTTGGCCAATGAGGCAGACTTTGAAGAATGGTCTGAAATTTTGCCAGATACACTAATCTGGAGGCAAAAACATTATAAAACACAATGGAAATCAGTTCAATATGTCACTTAGGTAAGTGAAAAACAACTTCAAGGAAAATATTCATTCACTATTTTTGGAGTTTATTCACATATTAAAAGCTAAAAGCATCATTCATTTTCTATCTTGAGTTCAAGAAAGTGTGTCTGACAAATTCCTTTGGTCTGAGAGCAGAATCTCATGGCCTACAATGGAGAAGCATCCAGCAGAGATTCTGAGACCAAGGTCCTTGGGAGCATCAAAGGGACACCCATAGGCCTGCAGCATCAGAGTAACAATCTGCACTGTGGACACACAGACATTTCAACATTGTTATTCTATCTCCTGACCCTGTGCCTTTTCCTTGGCCATCACCCCTGCCTAGAATGCTCTCCTTCCTCACCTCCTCCACCTCCTGTTTTTCCTGCCTTCCTTCAAGGCTCAGCTAAAACCCAACCTTCTGTAATAAGCTTGGCTCATTTTCATGAAACTTCCACTAATTTACACTATGAACATGTTGCTTACACACAATTATTTTCATGCTTTCTCCCATATTAGAAGAGGAGGTCCTTGAGAGCAAAGATAAGTCTGGAATGTAGCAAGCTTTCTATAAATGCTTGTTGGCTGTTTAATGGGATAAATTTGGTATTACTTTAGGTGCCTTATATGGATCCCATATTCTTTTAACTAAAATCAAGAAATGAAATCACTTCTTATTAAAGCACAACCAGAAACCTCCAGCAAAAGTGAGTGGCAAAAACTGAAAACTGCCATATTGGATTGACTGAAGAAAGCTGAGCTATCTGGTACAGATCAGTTTATTTATTGCCACCACCAGATTAGGAGAGGTTAAGAGTGAAATACAGAATCAGTAAGTTCCCAGGAGCCTATCATTTCCTCCCATGGTCAAATATTGAATCTCTCAGGCAAAAGGTTACACAAAGATCGTGTAATCAAACACTACTACAAATTCCTGTAGCAAGAATTCTCTTTACAACGTCCCTAATATTTGCTCATCCAACCTCTCTCTGAAAAGTTCCTCTTTAAGAAGCTTTGAACTTCCTAAGGCAATCGTTCTACTTTGAGATAGTGCCAATTATTAGTAAATTTTTTCCCTGTATCAAGTTGAAATTCCTACATTCCCTACCTATTGCTCCCAGTTCTACCCTCTAGTGCCAAGCAAAGTAAGTTTAATTCCTATTCCACATGACAACCCTTCAAATATCTGAATATAGATATCATATCACACTTAAGTCTTCTCCTTCATGGAAATTCTTAGTTACTCCAAGAGATCTTTTTTTTTTGTCCTGGCTTCAAGTCTCCTCACTGCCCTGATCACTTTCCTATGGACATGCTGCCCCTTGTTAGGGATCTTTCTAAAATGGGATACCCACTACCAATAAAACCCAGCAGGTAGAGATAGAAAGAGTAATTCTACTTAAGATAACTGCAGACACTAGAAAATACTTGGGAGTCTACCTGCCAAGACAAACCCAGAAACTACATGAACACAATTACCAAACACTTCTCACACTAAGACAGATCTAAACAATTGAAGAAATATGAATTGCTCATGGGTAGGATCATATAAGAGTTAATATAATAAAAATGACAATTCTACCTAAGTTAATTTACTTATTCAGTGCCATACCAGTCAAACTACCAAAGAATTATTTTATAGAACTAGGAAAAATAATAATAAAATTCATTTAGAAGAACAAAAGGTCAATGACATCAAGGAAATCAATGAAAAAAAGTGAAAGAAGGCAGTCTAGCAGTTCCAGATTTCAAACTATATTACAAAGCAGTAATTATCAAAACAATCTGGTACTGGCTAAAAAATAGATTATTGGATCAGCAGACTAGATTAGGGACACAGTACACAGCAGTAAATGACCATAGTAATCTAGTGTTTGATAAACCCAAAAAAATCCAAGCTTTGAGGGTAAGAATTCAACATTTGACAAAAATTTCTGGGAAAACTTGAAAGCAGTTTGGCAGAAACTAGGCACAGACCAATATCTTACACCATATACCAAGATAAGGTTAAAATGGATAAATGATTTAGACATAAAGAGTGATGTCATAAATAAATTAGGGGAGCCTGCAAAAATATACCTGTCAGATCTATGAATAAGGGGAGGATATGTGACCAAACAAGAGCAGAGAGGATCACAGGAAGTAAAATAGGTAATTGTGATTACATGAAATTAAAAGGCTTTAAGCACAAACAGAGCTAATGTAGCCAAAATTAGAAGGAAAACAGGAAACTGGTGGGGAGGGGTATTTTATGTTTCTGTGATGAAAGCCTCTTTTTTTTAAATTTATAGGAAACTGAGAAAATTTATAAAAATAAGAGCCATTCAAGGACATGAACGAACAGTTTTCTGAAGAAGAAATCAAAGCTATCAATACTCACATAAAAAGCTCTAAATCATTACTGGTAAGAGAAATGCAAATTTTTTTAAAGTCTGAGAAACTACTTCATCTATCAGATTGGCTAATATGACAGAAAAAGAAAATTATGAATGCTGTAGGAGACGTGGGAAAATTGGTGAACTAAGGCACTATTGGTGGAGTTGTGAACTGATCCAACAATTCTGGAAAGCAGTTTGGAACTATGCACAAAGGGCTATAAAACTGTGCATATCCTTTGACCCAGCAATACCACTACTAGGTCTGTATCCCAAAGACATCAAAGAAAAGGGGAAAAAACCTTTTTGTACAAAAATACTTATAGCAGTTCTTTTTTAGTGGCAAATAATAGAAAATTGAAGGAATGCTTATCAGTTGAGGAATGGCTGAACAAGTTGTGGTATATGAATGTAATGGAATACTATTGTGCTGTAAGAAATGATGAGCAGGCAGACTTCAAAAACCTAGAAAGATTTGAATGATCCTGGGTGAAGTGAGCAGAACCAGGAGAACAGTGTACACAGTAACAGCCACAATATGGGATGACTAACTTTGATAGACTTATCTCTTCTTAGCAATGCAAGGATCCAAGACAACTCCAAAGGACTCATGATGGAAAATGCTGTCCACATCCAGAAAAAGAACTTTCAAGTCTGAATGCAGATAGAACCATATTATTTGTTCTCTCTTTTTTCTTTTTGTTTGTTTGTTTCTTCTTTCTCGTGGTTTCTCCCATTGGTTCTAATTCTTCTTTACAACATGGCTAATGTGAAAATAGGTTCAATATTAGTGTTTATGTTGAGCCTATATCAAATTGCACACTGTCTTGGGGTGGGGAAAGAGGAGAGATGGGGAGAAAATTTGGAACTCAAAATCTTATGGAAGTAAATGTTGAAAACTAAAAATAAATAAATTTTATAATAAAATAAAATAATGAGTAAGCAAAGGAGAAAGAACCTGACCATAGATAGTTGCTATGGGGATTGAAAAGATCTGGGTTAGGGGCAGCTAGGTGGTACAATGGATACAGCACTGGCCCTGGATTCAGGAGGACTTGAGTGCAAATCCAGCCTCAGACACATAACACTTACTAGCTGTGTGACCCTGGGTAAATCACTTAACCCCATTGCCTAACCAAAAAAAAAAAAAGAAAAAGAAAAAAGAAAAGATCTGGGTTCATACTCAGAAGAACATAGTGAAATTTTAAAAGTCACTCCTACTTCAAAGAAAAATGGCAAGTGGCCACAAGCCCAATAGGAGTTCTTCGAATAGCTTAAAAAGGACTTTAAAAATCAAATAAGAGAGATTGAGGGAAAATTAGGGAAAAAAATAAAAACAATCCAAAAAAATTCAGTAAATAGTATGAAATGGAAATTCATGGTTCCATATTAAATGAGGAGTAGAATGCTTTCAAAAAAAAGCTGGGAAGACTTATATGAACTCATGCAAAGTGAAGTGAGAAAAACTAGGAGAACATTGTACACAGTAACAGCAATATTGTGAGATGATCAAGCATGAAAGACTTAGCTACTCTGAACAAGACAATGACCAAAGACAGTTCCAAAGGAGTCATGATGAAAAAATACTATCTACCTGCAGAGAGGGAACTGATGAACTCTGAGTGCAGATTGAAGCATATTATTTAGCTTTCTTCGTTTTTCTTGGGTTTTTGTTTTCTTTTGCAATGTGGCTAATATGGAAATATATTTTACATGAAAAATAAATAAAAGGGGGCACCCAGAATTGAGTGTGCCATTCAGATGTGACCAAAAAATAGAATACTTCTCTTGTTTAGGATGCTGTATTTCTATTAATGAAACTTAAGCTCTCATATTTGTTTGACTACTATACTATACTGTTGATTTACTGTGAACATGAAGTTCACTAAAACCTCTAGAATTTTATAATATCTCTTGTTTTTCATGAGATCTTTATTTTCATAGTAACTGCTGCGCAACTTTGGCTTACCATATTTGTATGTTTTTATAACCCATATACAGAACCATACATTAACAGCTATTAAATTTTAACTTCAGATTTGGCCCAATATTTTCATTTTTCAAGAATTTTCTGAATCTTGATTTTATCATTCATCCCACCTATTCCATGCCATCCACATATTTAATATGCTTCCTACTCATGTGCTCATTAAAATCATTGATAAAAATATTGGACAGGGCCAGAATTTGAGGCACTCACCTAGAAACATCATTCCAAAGTGCCATTAATTATTTGGTTGTGATTCTTTGGGTTCACACATTCAACTGTTTCTAAACTAATCTGACCTCACTATCTTTCAGCCCACATCTCTCCATTCTGTCAACAATGAAATCATGAAAGAGAGGTCAAATGACTTGCATCTATGCAAATATACTAATCATAGTGAGGAGTTAGACAAAGAATGAACTCAGTTTGTCATGCTCAATTTGAATGTGAGTACACATATGATTTTATACTTAATTTTCAACATAAGATCTCACCTTCCTCTCTGCTTCCAAATCTCTGCCACTAGAAAATTCCAATCTTTGCAGGTCTCATTTTTTACAAAACAAATGAGCATGTCTAAATCCCTACTGAAAGATACAACTCTTATGTGGATAATCAGGAAATATTTTATCTTCTTTATAAAGCTGCTTTAAAATGTCTAGATTAAGTAAAAGAATAAGCTCACTGTATTCTGTGCTGGACATACTACATCTGAAATATTTGGCCAAATTTGGGATTCCACCTATCCAAAGGAATAATAACAAACTAGAGTGTGTCCAGAGGAGGTGACCAAACTGCTTTAGATTTTAGAAACCACATCTATCAAGAATGGTTGAAGGATTTGTGCATTTTTAGCTGAAAGAGAGAACACACTGGGAAGAAAAGATAATCATATTTCCATATTTTAAGGAATAGCATGCAGAAATGGGATTAAATATCTTCTATATAAATCCAGAGTATAGGACCCAGTAAACTGGGTAAGACATTTGATTTCAACACCATACAACAAATAGATCTGTCCATAAAAGGAATGAGCTTCTTCACAAAGTTGTGAGTTGCCTATCCCTACAAGTGTTCAAGCAAAAGGTTGGAAGACCATCTGTTAGGAAGGCTATACAGACAATTCCTCTATTGTATAAGAAATTGAACTAGATCATAACGTTCTTGTAAAACCTAAGATTCTATGATCCTCCCCAGACTATTTGATCTATAACTGTGATGTAAACTTTCCCTGGTTTGTCAGCGAGTACTCCTTACTTTACAATAGTCTAATTAAAGGTAAGAATAGTTTGATTTTTTTAAAATCATGTAAATACTACCCAGAATTATGAAAATTAAATGTTCCTTTATGATTATACAGCCTTATGATTAGATCAACAAAGGGTCATGTCACACTAAGCTTATTTCTTTTTTGGCAGGGTTTCTAGACTAATAAATCAGAAGAGTCCTGTAGATATCATTTACCCAGAGTATTGCATACAAAGCAGTGCATAAAATCTTTCATGCTATTCTTATGAATAAGATGAAGAGATATCAGTTCTATAACATAATTAAGTGAATTCAGAGCTAGTGGATGTTGGAACCCAAAGAGTAATCATTAATGATTCAATGTCAATTTGGAACGTCCCTAACGGAGTGAACTGAGAATATCCCCTTGGCTTTTTGTTTTTTAATGTTTTCATCAATGACCTGGATGAAGACATGGATGGCATGCTTACTAAATTTTTAGATTACACAAAATGTGGACAGAAAACTCTTATGTTAGACAAATTCAGAAGCCAAAATATCATGAATAGGTTAAATTAAAGACCCAGCACGCACACAGTATGGCCTAGGTGAACCTTGGTGTGTTGGCATATGTTATATGCATACTTATGACAATGAGAAGTATTTAATAAAATGATATTCAATAAAGATAAGTGTAAAAATCTACATCTGGGTTTATCAGCTTCACAAGTACATAAGGGGAAAGAAGTGACTGGACAGAAGTTGTTCTGAAATCATCTGAGGCAGATATTATAACCAAAAGAAGTAATGTAATCTGAGAGTGCATTAAGAGAGGTTAATTTCCAGAACCTGGAATGTGGTAGTTCTGCTATGCTCTTCTTTAGTTAGAGATGAAATTTTAAGGACTTTGCTGAATTCTTGGCACCACATTTTAGTAAAAAAGTTCATAATCTGGAAAGTGTGTAAAGGCCTGTGACCTCTTTGCTCCAGAGACATCCCAGAGAGCCTTGCATCAGCCCCAGATCCAGGTCCCCCAGCCTATGACCTGTTTCTTCACCTCAGGGCCTTCTCTAGTGTTCCAGAGAACTTTCTCAGGTCTGAGCTACCTTGACTTGTCAGTTCCTGCCTGCTATCCTGACACTAGATCATACTTTCACCTATTCCTGTTTCCTGTGAATCTGGCTTCCTGAGCCTCACAAGACTTAACCCCATCACCTGCTATGAGGTCCAGGGAAGGCTATGAATAGTCAAATAATCTGACTCCCTCAAAAGACGTATCTCCAATGATTCTCTGCCTGGACTCATTTTTCAGTGACTAACATCATCCCACCACATCATATACTCTTGATCCCAGTGATTCTGAAACCTACTGTCATTGTAAAAATTATTTCATGTGCCCCGTAGTCCACTCCCTTACTTCCATTCCTCACAACCCTAGCCCCAAATGCTCTACTGCAGATCTGACTAACCCTTTTGCAGGGCTCTCTGGAATGCCAGCTCCATAGTTAACAAACCTATTTTCATATTAAACCTTTTCCTTTACCACTCCTCTCACTGAGACTTGGTTGATGCCTAATGACAAAGCATATCTAGCCAAGCTTTTCAGTGACAATTGAACTCAAACCCTCCCCAACTGGGCCCATGGTGTGGAGGGAGGAGTTGGAATATCCAGTAGCACCCCCTCCTTTGGTAGTGTATCCAGGATACTCTTCTTCCTCCCTCAATGATTTTAATGTCTGACTCACAATCTTTCTCTTTACTCAAAACCCTGATCTCGTACTAAGGGAATCCCATATGCACATTGACACTTCTTCAAACACCCTAACTTCCCAGTTCTTCAAAGTACTCAGTTCTTATGATTACCCTTCCACTCTACTTCACCTAGACAAAGATGGTCCTGTCTTTGATCATGACATTACCTAGAAGTGTTTCACTTCCATGTTCATTAGCTTTGGCATGCCTTTATTTAGTCATAATTTCTTTATCATTCCATCTTTCCCTCTGCGTTAGGACCTCAACTCTGTTCCCCATCCTCCCAATGACCAGTAACCTATCCTTTACCCAATTCATTCCCAGGTCGCTACCTTTGACAGAATATGTTATTCTTCCTTCTTTATCTTGGTAAGTCATTCTACCTTACACTGTTTTCTACACTCAGTCCCTTACCCTTGGTCTTGCCAAGCCCCAGTCTTAGATTATTCCCACCATTTGATGCCTTATCATCTGTATGCTTCTGCTAATGAAAGGAGCTGGAAGAAATAATAAAACTGTGCTGACTGAATTCACTACAAATTTACATTCCATAATCCCAACTAGGTCCTCTCTGAAGTAAGACAATGCTTTCAAATTTCACCTAATTGATTCACTGTCCTATTCACCATAGCAGCTATACCAAGCTTTTTCATCCCTCTTGAAGCCTGTCATGACACCTCTTTCCGCTGTCCTCTCAGTTGAGGACCATGTATTCACTTGAAAAACTTGAGACCATTTGCTCAAAATTCTCCTTTTCTCCCCTCCTCCTCATCATCTCACATGACTCAAATATCTTCCACTGTCTACTCCTTCACTCTTTTCTCACAAAAGATGTTCCTCCTCTTTGCTGATCCCATTCCACTGTATCTTCACCAGCAGATTGTTCCCTCTATTATCTGTTCTCTTATTAATCACATATCTCTCCTTATCTACTGAATATTTCTCTGCTTCCTACAAACACACCCACATTTCTCCCATCTTTAAAAAAAAAATCCTTGCTTGATCCAACTATCCTTCCAGCAATTATCCTATATCTTTCCTCCCTTCCATGACTGAACTGTTGGAGAAAGCCATCTATAATGTTCAACCATCTTGGCCAAAAGACCGTGTTTTATCTTTCCAGTCCTGTTATAATTTATTAATCTCCACATACTCTATGATACAGCAATACTAGTCTTCTTGTTCTTCATACATGACACTTTACTTCCCAATTGGTTCCCCCATTCCTGGAATTTTCTTCCTCCTCATCTCTGCCTCCTTCTTCCCTAGTTTCCTTCAAGGATCATCTCAAATCCCACCTCCTGCAGGGGGGTTTCCTGATCTCCCTCACTGCTAGGGCATTCCTTCTGAGATTACCTCCCATTAATACTGTGTGTATCTTTTATTACACAGTTGTTTGTATGTTATCCCCCCCCCATTAGAATGTGAGATTCTTGAGGGCAGGGGCCCTACTTTTGCTTTTCCTTTTCACTCCAGTGCCTGATACATAACAAGCATTTAGTAAATGTTTGCTGCCTGACAAAATGGTTCACCATACTACACAAAGAGCCATTGAATGGACTTGATGTCTAGCCTGGAAAGGAGAAGACAGTGAGGGATATAATAACTGAATTCAAGCCTTTAAAGGGCTTTCATGGAGGAAGAACTAGATTTACTCTCTCTGGCTCTAGAGGAAAGAACTAAGAGCAAGTGATGCAAGTTTGAAGAGACAAATGTGGCGTTTGTGTAATGAAGGTCCTCCTACTTACTAAAGCTATGCAAAAATGAAATAGGCCACATCTGTTGGTGATGAATAACACCTCATTTGAGTCCTTGAAGTGAAGTCTAGGTGACTACTTGTTGAGGATGTTATAAAACGGACTTTGGGCCAGGTATGGGTTAAACTAGATAACACCCATGATTACTATCAACAGACTGGCTGCAAAGTGATTTTTTTTTTTTGCCACAGTAACTCTCCATGGTGAACCATTGCCAAGGGATACAATGGAAGGACGGAATAGCCATACTGATGAAATCACAGCTCCTAGACATACTGAAATAAGAACAAAAAATGATGGCAACTGAACTGAATATTTAAAACATATGAAAATGATACCTCAAGCTAAACAAACAGCGATGTTGCTGTGAGCTCCTGCACAGGCATAATCTCTATTGAATTATTTTGAGGATCAAAATAAACAATACTCAATTACAAATAATGCTAACAATGTCTCTTGAAATAAGCCTGGGACCTGGGGTGTGAGGGACAGCATAAACAGAGCTAAATGTGTAGCTGTATTGCACAGTACTCATTTCCAATGGGATTATCATGCTGTCAAATCAAATGTCATCTAGTCTATACTCAATTGTGAAACATGGCAAATTTGCTTTACATTTTTGGAGATTGCAGGTAGTTTGGGAGGGATTCTGATCCCAAATTGTCATCCAGGAGGTGAAGCATGGTGTGCAGGATTGATGCTACTTTCCATGACTCACTGTCTTCAGGGTATTGATCTCTGAAAGCCATTAGACTTTGTTCCATTCCAGTAAGAATCTTCTGAACCACACCAACATTTAGCCATTGCTGAATCACCTGAAAATTTTTTAAAAATCACAGTTGTTTAAAATGAGATGTGTCTGTACCTATGTCTTCTTTGGTCTTTTAGAGAAGTCAATAATAATGACAAGAGGTTTTAAATTCATAGAAAAATTAACTTTAAGAGGCAACAAGGTATAGCTAATGGCATGCCAGATTTGAAATATCTTGAAGTACAAACATACCTGGTTTCAAAGCCAGTTTCTGACATATATTGACCATGGGCAAGTGACTTTACCTCATCTTAGCCTCAGTTTTATCATCTATAAAATGAGGATTAAAAATATCTATAGTACTTACCTCACAGGACTATTATGAGGATCAAATGAGATTTGTTTGTAAAGAAAACTTTAAAGCATCATATGAATATCAGTTATCATTATTATTATCATTATTATTATTATTATTATCATTACACTTTCATTAGTCAACATTCATTTGTTAAGTGCTTACTTTGTGATAGGTACAATGCTAACAACTGGGGGATACAAAGAAAGGCAAAAATAGTCCAAGTTCAAGGAGCTCACATTCTAATGGAGAAGACAACAGGCAAACAGTTTTACAAAACCTCACACATAGTACATATTCTATAAAACACAAAGCTAGGCTTACCTTTTATTATATATACACATATATTTCTCTATACACATAGATTTCAACATATGTGAAATAGCGTCAATGATTGTTTATCGTGCACATACTACATGTTTCATCTTAGGCACCTGGAGGGGAAATGCATGATGGGCACTTTTTGAACCAGACTGGTGATTTCTTTGGTATCAGGAACTTTCCATGAGGATCCTCTAGCTGCCAATACAGGTTAACATCTGCTCTGCAACTTAAAGTTGTCTGGGGCACTTAAAGCTTAAGTGATTGGTCCATGGTCACAGAGTCCACGTGTAAAGACTTAACTTATAGCCAAGTTTCCATCCACTGCACCATGCTGCTTCTAAAATGTACATTTAATTGTTTTAAATATTGTCCATTTAAATATAAATCCCTTTGGCCCAAGACCTGCCCCTGTGCCCCCATGTGGCATGATAGGAATGCTGTGTTCTGAAAGGTTAAGTTTGTAGAACTCAAGTATGACCCACAAAGCCAGTGTAGCTCTGAGTGCTGGAGTGTGTCTATTGTTCAAAGACTAGTTTATAGAGGTTAATTATAAGAAGGTTTGCTACCAGATCATGGATATTTGGGACCATGACAATTTATAATGCCATCTACTAATTTATATAGAGATTTCAACTTTCATTGGTAGATGGAACACCTACACCAATAAAATTACTGATCTTTTTGCAGAATTAAGTATGAGCTTGGATTAACTACGTAAAGAACATTAAGCTCCTGTGGCTTGTTCTACACAATAGAAGATAGTTATAAGGTACAAAACACCAAGTGTTCACTCTTTGCACGCTAAATCTGTCTAGGGTCCCAATTGAGAATCTTAGTCCCGTCTTTTGTCTACCAAATTCCTAGAATTGTGAGTTAATTAAAAATGGGTTAAATATTATCCGTACTTCACCAAAAGCAAATATATTAGTCTTACAAAAAAAAAAATACTTCAACCTTTAGCAAAATCTATAAATTTTCAATGCTTTTTTCAAGTAAATATATCTAGCCTCCCATATCCCCTAACAAAGGGAAGGGAAGAGAATAAACATTTATATAGTGCCTACTATGTGCCAGGACCTTTGTGAAGTACTTTTTACAAATATCTGATTTGATCCTCACAGCAACTCTGCAAGGTAGTTTCTATTAATATCCTTAGTTTACTGTTGAGGAAAATGAGATTAATAGAGGTTTCAATGACGTCTACAGAGTCACACATACAGTAAATCTCTGAAGATGGGTTTGAATTCAGGTCTTTCTAATTCTAAGCCCGCGATGTATCCACTGCATCACCAGCCTTCTCTGAAACTGACAACAACTGAGAAACAACAATTGAAACAATTAATAGATTGTAAGTGAATCAGGTTTTGTTTGAAACCTACCTAATGGGAAAAGGTATGATTCAGAAAGAATGACGCTGCTCTATAGAATAATACCTGTTTGTAGATTTGGAGCCAGCTGACTGAATGGACAAGATAGTCTTTGGCTTCTGACCACTGGATGTTACAGTTTCCATGATTATATTTATTGCCAACTTCAACTGCTGATGTGCTGGACAAGGCTGAACATACAAACTGCTCCAGTGAGCTGTCTGTGGGAATCTGGCAATGACACAAGAAATGTTTAGAAGAGGTGCTTTTCTTTTTCTAAATGGCACTGTTTTATAAATAGTATCTCATTTGTATAAAATCAAGAACTCTACAAATAACTGGTTGGTGAAGGTAAGCACCAGGGGTCAGGTATCTTACTGATTCCTCCTAATTCTTTACATTGTAGTGAATTATTTAAATGGCAATTTCAAGAAAACAAAAGGAAAAAGCTCTTTCAATTTTTCTTATTATGCCAAAAGGAATAAGACAGAGCTGTTTTACAAGGGCAAGAGCGTGAAGATGGTACTACTCAAGGTACTCATCAGTGCCTTGCCTAAAGGAAAAGAGACTGATTTCTGTTGTTATTTTTGTCTTTGGAAAATGAAGTCTGTCAGCTCATGCACACATAATTTTCTTTCTCTGTTTTGCTAAGATCAAAGAGGAACCCAGTCTGAAGGGTTCAAATGTAGATTTAAAGCCAGGACAGTCAATAAACCTCCACCAAACAAATATTTTCCTTTCAAAAAGGAACCAAAAAATTTGATTTCTCTAAGCCTGCATATAACGAGATCATGTTTTTGCTATAATTGACTGACTTCTCATATTACATGGATTAGGGAGAAAGTTCTACTTTCATCTTTAATTCAATTCAATTCAACAAACATTAAGAGCTGACTTTACAATGCATTGACCTAAGCCAGAAAACACAAAGCTGAAAAAGATCACCATCTCAGCCCTTAAGGAACTTCAATTTTGTAGGAAAGATGCAGAATGAAAATAATTATTATTATAATTATGATATAAAATTTTTCATTATTGTCTCTAATGAAGAGATGGTTCTTCTCCTTAGCAAGATCAACCCCTCTACAAGTACCCTTAATCACATCTCCACTGGTCTTCTCCAGCAGATTGCTCCCCAAATCTTCAACCTTTATCTACTGGTTCCTTTCCTACTAACCTTCAGAAATTCCCAATTGTCCTCCATCCTCAAAAAACCTTTCCTTACCCTATCATCTCCACTAGCTATCATCCCATATCTCTTTTGTTTTTCTCATTCAATCTCCTAGAAAAGTCTGCCATTCCCTCTCCCTCCAACCCTCTCCAACATAATAACCCAACTCAAACTTCCTTCTCCAAAGTAACCAGTGATCTCTTAATTGCCTTCTATCACTTCTACCAGAGGGTCTCCTCTCAATCTTCATTCTTCTTGACCTTTATGAAGCACCTCACACTGTTTACTATCCTCTCCTCTTGAATATAATCACTTATCTGGGTTCTCATGCTCCTGCTCCCTCTTGATTTTCTTCCTAGCCATCTGCTCCTCCTCATTCTACCTTGCTTGATCATGATTTCATATCACAACTGCTCGTGAATATGCCCTCTTCTCTTCTTACTCAACACTCTGTCATTTGATGACGTTATCACTCCCATAGGTAGAAATTATCATATTTATGCAAATGGAACCCAAATTTATATATCCAATATTAGCCTGTGCTGGGAGTTTCATTTCCAGCAAATGCATCTCACCAACTGATTACTAGACATTTTTAAATGGATGTCCATAGGCAGCTCCACCTCAACACGTCTAACAGAGAATTCTTTCATCTTTCCATCGTGTTTATTTTGTATATGCATATACTTATACTTAAGGTTTCTCTTCATAGAATGTAAGCTCCTTAAGGGCAGGGACTGTTTCAATTTTGTCTTTGTATTCCCAGCACTCCTAGCACAGAGCCTGGAATGTTATGTACACTTGATGACTACATGCTGTTTGACTGAAGTGTAATTAAGCAGAATGATGTGAAGGCAATGAAGCAAAATTTATTGTGAGAGATTCAAGAAGGGAGGGATCACTCCTATGAAAGACAGGGTACGGAGTGAGAATTAATGAAGGCTTCATGTAAGAGGTGGCACCTGTGCTGAGCCTTGATGTCAGAGAGAAATTTTACTAGACAAGGGTGAGAGATGAAGAACTTCATTCCACACACAGGGAATGGATGGCTTATGCAAAGGTCTAGAGGTAGAAGAGGGCAGGATGAGACAAAGTACAACAAAAATTATCCTATGTGACTATAGTGTAGAGATACACAGTGGGGAGTACAACAAAAAAGGCTTTAACAATAGGTAAGAATTAGATTCTGCAGAGACTTAGAACTATAGATTAGAGTAGGACAAGACCCTAGGGATTATCTGGCCCAAATCTTTCATTTTACAGAGAGGAGACTAAGGCCCAAAGCAGTCAGAATATTGAATCCAAACCGACAGCCTTTTTCTAACTGCTCACATCCTTCTAGCCACTGTGCTAGGTGTTGGGGCAAAAAAGATATGAGGGAAACAGCCTCTGCCCTCAAGGAGCTCATATTCTATTACAGAAGTGTCAAACACATAGACCACAATACTCCCAAATGTGACTCAAACTAGACTAAAATGAAGTCCTTATCTGATTTAAATGTATTGATATATTAGTTTAAAAAAAAAAGGAATGTATACACCTATGTGGTTTTTTTTCCCCAAATCAGCAGGGATCCTGATGCATGGTTTTATTGGCCCTTGTTTGTGTTTGACCTGGATATCACTGTTTTATTAGGCAGAGGAAGGAAATTACATATTTACAAGAATAAAATAAGGAAATTTGAGTAGGGAGAGAGCACTAATAATTGGAGAGAGAGGTGGGAAAGGAATCAAGGAAGACTTTCCAGAGGAGGCAGCACTTGAATTAAATCTTCAAAGAGAGATGAAGAGTAGGGTATCCCATGCTCAAGAAATGGCTTTTGTGAATGCAGGGAGGAGGAAGATATAGCAAAATTAGGGAAAAGCTTGTTGTCCTTCAGTGTTGGCTTTGTGTACTAGGATGTCTCCATGAAGGGGATTAGTAATGAAATCAGGTTCAAACAGTAGGCAGGAGCCAGATTGTGGAGGGCCAAAGAAGCCAAGCTAATGAGTTTGTATTTTATCTCATAGGCAATGGGCAGCCAGTAATACTTTTTGAACATGAGACTAACAAAGTCTTATCCAAGGTCACACAGCTAATAACAAAGCAAGGGTTTGAACAGATTTTCTGACTTGAAAAGTAGCACTCTTTCCACTGTACTGCCTTGCCTGTATTTTATGTCATGGACAATGGTGATTACACAAAAACATGAAGCATTCATTTTTTTCACAATTTGCAATGGTGTGTGCACTCCATGAGGTTGAAACTTCCAGAAAATAGATGTTCGTTGAATATACAGATTTTTCAGTAGTCGCTGAAAAAGAAAGTCTCTGCCCTGCCCTTCACCCAAGGCATATAATTTGATGATGAACTCAGAGACAACACCATACACTCCCTCCTGCCCCTAAGCAGGCACCATTTGGACATTTAAATGTAGGATATTAAAATTTTTTAAATGTATATGAATCAAAGAATTTAGAGCTGAAAGGGATCTGGAAGACTACAGAGCTCAATCCTTTCATTTGATGCGACTAAGTGGTACGGTAGATAGAACACCACACCTGAAGTCAGAAAATCTCAGTTCAAAACCTGCCTGAGATATTTACCAGCTGTGTGATCCTGGGCAAGTCATTTGAACTCTGTTTGCCTGTTTCCACATGAGTAAAATAGGGACAATGATAGCACTTACCTTCTAGGATTGTTTTGAGGAGCAAATGTGATAATGGTTATAAAGTGCTTTCAGTGCCTGGCACATAATAAGAGGTATATAAATAATATCTGTTATTATCATTGGGCAGCTAGATGGTTCCTTAGTGTACAGATCACTGTGCCTGGAATCAGGAAGACTCATAAAATACTTACTAGTTGTATGACCCTGGGCAACTCAATTAATCCTATTCGCCTTAGTTTCTTCATCTATAAAAATAAGATGGAGAAGGAAATGGCAAACCACTTCAGTATCTTTGCCAAAAAAAAAAAAACACCAAATGGGGTCATAAAGAGTTGGACACAAATGAAGTTATTATCATTGTTGTTGTTGTTGTTGTTGTTATTGTTGTTGTTACAAAAGGAGACAGAAGTTAAATAAAATTGCACCAGATGTCCACATCCATGTCATAGGAACATAGATCTAGAGTGGGAAGGGGCATAAGAACCCATCTAGTCACGCCCTTCATTTTACAGATGAGGAAACTGAGGATCATGGAAGGTAAGTAACTTGCCCAAAGCCATCCAAGTAGTCCATATTAGAGGTGAGATTTGAACCCAGGTCCTCCAACTCTAGAATCAATGAAAATATTGTGAATGGCCTATTTTGTGCCTTGATTGAGCAAAGGGAGTTTTGTGCTTGTATCTAGCAGGTACTCTTATACAATCTTAACATCTGCAGGGAAGATATTGTTTTAGGACAAGATTCTTTAAGGCTGCATTTTATCCTACAGAGTCATTTTTAAAAATAAGTGAACAAAATGATCTTATATTCTTTGCACCCTTTAGGCAACTATGAGACTGTGAAGAGGTGGTCTACTGTAGAAAATCATTTGTGAAAGCCTGCTTGTTTCTTTCACTTTTTTTTCAGCCGTGAGTTAAAGTGATCCGTATTGATTTTTTCCCAGGGGAAAAGGTCAGGAAGTTGATAGGTAAAAAGACTAGACATCTTTTAAATATAGTACAGCAGTCTGCAATTTTCATTGGTAACTCTGTGATCACAACAAATTGCATCTTTATTTTAGCAAAGTTTTGCAATTTAACAAATTTAAGATTTATTTTATATTAGTCTAGCATGGGCTTATGATTTCCCCACCCCAAAATGACTGTTTTCACGGTACTACTATTCATGTATAGTATGTTCCTGCCAAGCTATCCTATTCTTTTTTGTTCCTGAAACTCATCATTCCATTTCCCTTCCCTTCCCTTTCTTCCCTTCAGTGTGTCCTCCATATTTGAAAGGCACCCACTCTCTCATCTCAACTCTTAGACTCCTTAGCTTCCTTCATGACGTATTTCAACCCTAGTGTCACCTCCAACAAGAAGTCTTCACTAATGGTCTCAGTAATTAATGTTCTCCACTTCCTAAAATTAGCTTAACTTTGCTTACTAATTACATGCTACATGCCTTATAAAATGTAAGCACCATCGGGCAAGGCTTCCCTTTGGCTTTATGTCTTTATGGCCACAGTCCTTAGTAGAATTCCTTGAACATAGTTAAATTGAATTGAATCATCAATGGCTTTGCTTCCCAAAATTCTACTACCATGTGAAGGAAGTCCTTCTTCTTTCTTCCAGGTACTTCTAAGAAGCAGCAAGCAGTAATTGAATTAATGCAATTGGCCCAAAGCAGGAACATAGAGATTCCTTGAATGGAGAAAGGGAATGAGGTACCCAGGATGTAATCACTTACAGCATGAATTATTTTGACTTGGGAAAATCACTTAACATCTCTGGGCCTCAGTTTCCTCATTTGTAAAATTGATGGGTTAGAACTGATGATCTAAAGCAAGCCTGTACAACCTGTGGCCCACCAAGGGATTTCAGGCTGCCCATGAAAAATGTAGAGGAAGACATCCTCTACAATTTTTGCAGGCTGCCCAAAATCCTTTGGCATGCCCAGAGGCCACTTACAACCTGCAGGACGCAGGCTGTGCAGGCCTGATCTAACAGTTCCCTCCAATTATGGTTCTATTAAATCAATGAGACTATAAAAGAGTACTTGATTTAGAGTCATAGGACCTGGATTCAAATCCTGACTCTGGCATTTACTAGCTGTGGAGCTTGGGCAAGTTCCTTATTATTTTTAGACTTCAGTTTCCTCATTTATAAAAGGGGGAAGTGAGTTGATTGAACTAGACGATCTCTAAAGCTCCTTCTATCTCTAAGTCTGTGATCCTATTATCTCTATATATATAAAATAAGCTGGATCTTACTTAGATACTTGAGCTGTATCTACCAGATCTCTTCTTATAGGTTATCTCTTCCTTATACATCCAGCCTATTTCCCTGATCAAGTCTGACACCTATTTTTTTTTATCCAAGAGACAAAAGAAAAAATATTCCCAATAACAGATCCTGGACTATGACTTTAGTGATATTTTAAGGAAAGTTCTCTAATGCCACAAAGATACTAGACAAAGAATTTCAGCTATAGGCAAAAGTCTGACTATAATTATGATAGCTAGTGTTTATATGGTAAGACTTACAAAACACTTTTTATATCTCATTTGACCCCCCACTTCAGCATGGTTAGGCAGGTAATATTATTTGTCCCATTTTGGTGATGAGGAAACCAAAACTCAGAAAGATTAAATGATTTGTTCATGGTCATACAAGTAGTAAATGTCAGAAGCAAAGACTGACACTCAAATCTTTCTGATTCTAAGACCAACACCCTCTGTAATCCATCATGTGGACTTTCATCTGGGCTGCTTTTTACATTGGACCTGAATGGGCTGATATTTAATATTTTTACAAGAGCAGTTTCTTAACATTGTTGACATATCATTCTATAATGTTTTAGTACTGGACTACTGCCTTTGCATGTAAAATTTGCTACAAAGGACACTGTGCATGACCTAGAAAAGAAAATAAAGGCAAAAACTGTTTTTCCTTTGTTTTCTTTTTAAGTGAAAAAAAGTTACATTATCCAGGAATCATTATTTTAAGCACCTACAGAAAATGTCACTGCTGTTGTGTAGTTCTATGGTGACTTTTACAAAGTAATTAAGGGATGAAGGATCAATGAACATCCATACCTCATTTAACTTGCCAGTGTAATTCAGCATCTTCTCAACATGAAGGTCAACAAAGCCATATTTGGATGTCAAATCAGATTTCAGCTTCAGAGGGTTCCACACCACATTTCTTAGTGACAAGTTGTATCCAATTCCTATTTAAAAACATACACATGAACATAGTCTAGTCTTAAAATGTTTATCCTGCCCATCAAGTCCTTACAAGCTGACACATCTGAAAGTATCCAAAAAGAATACCAGTCTCTTCATGGAAAAGGTGCAAAAAAAAAAATTATAGATGGAAAGGCAGCTCAAGAAGTAGAATACTCAAGTAGAAATAAATGTAAATGCACAATAGCAAATAAATCCTTCACTAATTAAGGAAATTGGCAAAATGGAATGGATTTGTCAGAGACATTGTAGAGGGGATATTTACATTGGGTTGAAGATTGGATAGGAATTGGACGTGACTGGACTAGATTAGATGAGATAACCAACTAAGTTGATTTGAGGCTGGTAGTCTATCAAAAATCAGAATAGTAGTTTTATGACACACACATAAATGGAAAAGGCATGAATTAAGGTAAGGTGGCATAGGGCAGCTAGGTGGCCAAGTGGATAGAGTGCCAGGCCTGGAATCAGGAAGACTCATCTTGCCGAGTTCAAATCCAACCTCCAACACTTAATAGCTTATAACCTTGGGCAAGTCACTTAACCTTGTTTGCCTCCATTCCTCATCTTTAAAGTGAGCTGGAAAAGAAAATGGCAAGCCACTGCAGTATTGCCAAGAAAACCCTAAATGAGATCATGAAGAGATAGACGTGACTGAAACAAATGAACGACAATGACAATATGTAACGTAATATGGAGAAGTTAAAAAAAAGAAAAGAAAATATTCAAACATCAAGAAAACAATGAGCAAACAATCCAAAAAGTAAAACAGAATGACTTATCTAGTACTCAAGACAAATTACAATCTATTACAATATATGAAGTACCACTTTACTCAGAAAGAAAAGGAATATAGTCTCCTTGGAGAAAACCTCGTAACATCATCTCTAAGTGTCTGTTCAATTGAGATGAGTTATATAATGTTTTTTGTACCTCTCTTTTGGATGCATCCATTCTTAGAATTTCAAGGGATTTGGGAAGTCATCTAGTCCAATCTTAAACCAATGTAAAAAAATCCTCTATATTATCTGTCAAATGATTTATCTACTCTGCTTGAATATTTTCATTAATAGAGAGCTCACTACTTAGTAAAAGTCCCTCTTCTACTCCTGGATAGCTCCAATAACTACATTTTCCCCCTCTTGTTACCTATAACTTTTATCCATGGTTCTAGTTTTCCCTTTGGAGCAACACAAGAAAGTATTCTTCACAACCATCCTTTAAGTATTGATGAGATAACAGGACTCCTTAAAAAAGTCATCCTCTTCTCCAGGTTATAAATATTTATTTTTTTTACTTTTGCCAAAGGCTAATAGAAGAGAACTCAAAGTGAAATCAGGAAATTTAGATTTAAATTCTTGTTCTGCCACATGTTACTTTGGAGAAGGAATTTGACTTCTGGGGGATCTCAATTTCCTTTTATTTTTTTTGAAAGTGAAAAATAATCAAACTAGATGAATTTAAAGGCTCCTTCCAGCTCTAAAATTCCATGGTTCTGTAAAAATCTAAAAACCTCCTAAGATTTTCTTTTTTAAAAAATTCTTATTTAAGTGTCTTTTTTTCCTTCTCCATAAATATATTACATAATTCTTTCTCTAGTTCATAATCTCTTAATGAAAGTAAAATGGATACGGACTTATTGGTGACTTAAATGAAATTATATTAAGGAGGTAATATATGTAAATTTTATAATCCTGCCTCTCCATTTTATTTTTATTAGGAATCCATGAGGAATTTATGATGGGAGAGAGCTTTGAGTATATTTTCTCTAAGAACTGCAAAATAAGACAGAAGTGTTGCACTATATGTCAAAATTGGCAACAAAGTGGCATAGACAAGCATGGGTTACATGCAAATTTTATACCCAATGACTTTTTTGAAGGGTTACTTGTTTGTTACCTTTGCAAGGTTACTCTAGATGCAAAAGATCCAGGCTACAATTGTACTAGAGACTCAAAGAACAACATAAAAATCTAAACATAATAATTCCCTTATCATCTCTTATCACCATCCTCTGCCTCTTGTCCCCTCCCCAACTCACGCCAATCATTCAGGAGAGCAGAATAGTAAGAGAGCATAATTGTCATAGGAATAGCAAAAGCAACAGACCACCCACTGAGTAAGAAAGGAAGCTTCCAGATAGTTGAGTCAAAACCATATGAAGAGGTGACAGCAGACAGAAGAAAGTGGGCCCTGGGGAAGTTACCCCATCAGAGAAAATCTAAAATCTTTTCATCTCTGTCTATATAGAACAAAAGTTCATGTAGGAGTACTGGGCTCAGCAGCAGATCACAATGGCTATAGGGATGGTTTTAATCAGAACATTGGTTTGTATAGGGACAGATCTGGAGCTAGAAAATCAAAAGAGACATTGTCAAGCCCCTTCTTTGCCAAAACCTCAGCCTTCTAATAATTATATTAATAATAATAATAATAATAATAATAATAACAACAACAACAACAACTCAGAAAAAAACTTTTTACAAAGCTATTTCATCACAACTAGTCCTTATGACCTTAGGCAAATATCTTTCTTAATTCTCATAAGTAAATTTCATATTCATTCTCCAAGTTCATGCTCTCTTCATGTAAAATTCTATTAGAAGTGAATTAAATGATAGAAATAAGAGTTGAGGAGTAGGTGGTGGTAAAAAGAAATTCCATAAAGATTAAGTTCTTAATCCAGAGTCCATATTTTTTTAATATTTTGATAACTATATTTTAGTGTAATTGGTTTCCTTTGTAATAATATGTATTTTCCTTGTTTAAAGGAAATTTCCTATTTAAAAATAGTATTCTAAGAAGGGTCCATAAGCTTTCCCAAGTTGCCAAAGGGGTCCATGATGCAAAGACAGTTAGGAACCCCTAATCTATGGTAAGGTCTTCTGGATGTTCCTGTTTACACATGACATTTTACTGATTGCTTCAAGCCCCAAAACAGTCGTAGTCTCCTAAATGAGATCCATAACTATTTTAAAGAGTTTAATCTAACTATCCTCACTGGAAATAATAAGTGAATGAAAACTGTCCGTGTACATATTCTAACAGGGAAGTCAGATGGACAATTAGACACTATGCACAAACAATGAGCTGAGTCCAGAATTTCCTATTTCATCTTTCTCTAATGGCAAAATTGACTGGTCCATAAACACAGGGACAGCTCACCTGATGTCATTAAGTGTTTCTACAAAAACATATTGAGCAAAACAGCATTTCAGGGATCAGTTAGCTCCAGAATAATGATGATGATGATGATGATGATGATAAACAACGTTAACATAGGACTTTAAGGTTTGCAGTGTTTTATATGTATTACCTCATTTGAACCTCACAACAATCATATGAGGTAGGTTCTATTATTATCTCTTTGTTAAAGATTAGGGAATCTAGGCTGAGAGAGATGATATGATTTGTCCAGGATCACATAGTTGGTAAGTGTATGAGGCAGGATTTGACCTCTAGTCTTTCTGATTCCAAATCCATCACTCTTTACTAAATAGGAAAGATTTTCCCAAATTTTAAACCATCAAAGTTGTAAGTACGTATTCACACATATTTGAACCTAAAATATGAACTCAAGGCCACAGGGCTGAGCTGAATGGAGCACAGCTGGTTGGGATTTGGAAGTGCTGGCCTGAGGACAGAAGGAAGGTGGGGAATAGAACTACTGGTATAACCTGTCATGTTAAGGAAAATTTGAGAAAAGAAGAAGCTGCTGAATTGGGGGTGACAGTTTTAGAAGATTTGGTTCATAGGTCACCCTTTCCTACGGATGACACCTTACAAACCCTGTAAGGGCCTGCAAGAGCAAAGACAAAGTCAAGCACCTCCATATACCATGGAGTTAGAAGGCATATAGCAGAATAGAAGGCAGCTTCACAATGCTTAAGAAAAGAAGAGACCATGCTAGGCATGTTCATGGTATTCAGCTTCCTATCAGGATTCTTCAAGGGTGCTTAAATCTTTGTGAGTAGGGCACTTCATCTGACAAAATCAAAGTACACTTCTTGGATCAGACTAGAGATAAAGCTCCTCCAAACATCTCTCATCTTTGAGTTTCCATGACAATGCCCTCTTTTGGTTCTCCTCCTTGCCAATGTGACACATAACCTCCTTTACTGGACCATCATCCATGTCACATCCACTTGTTACAGGTGTATTCCAAGATTTTGTCCAGGGCTCACCTCTTTTCTTTTTATATTCCCTTATTAGGTTACCTCATTAGCTCTTGTGGATTCAATTATCATCTCAATACAAGATGACTCCCAGATCTATCTATTCAGCTCTGTCTCTCTCTTGAACTCCATGCCCTACTGAGATTCAGCTGTATCCATCACAAATTGCCTATTGGACATTTCAAACTGAATTCCTTATAGGCATCCTAAAGTAATCACAACTCCCAAAAAAGCCCACTATCTTTATCATTTAGCCCACATTTTCCAACTCTCCCCATTAACTGTCAAAGACACCCTAATCACTCAGGTTTCCAATCTTAGTATTATGCTCCATTCCTCACTCTCTGTCAATCACAAATCCAATCAGTTGCCAAATCTTATTAATTCTGTCCACAGTATCTCTCGCCTATGCCCCTTTCCCTTCACTCTCATTGCTAAAACCCTAATTCAGGCCTTAATCACCTCTCATTTGGACTATTGCAATAGCCTTCTAATTGATCTCCCTCTCTCCAGATTCTCCTCACTTCAGTCCATTTCCCATATTGCCATGGAAGTGATTTTCTTAAAGTTCAGGTCTGCCAGATCACACTCCACTCAATAATCTTCAGTGATTCTCTATTGCATCTAATCAAATATGAATTTTTCTGTCATTGAAGGTTCTTCACAATGTGGTCCTTTCCCACCCTTCCAGTTAGTTCCTTCCACACATTCTTTAGTGCAGCCAAAATGGCCAACTTGCCACTTTTCACACATGGCCCTCAATTCCCCATCTCAGTGCTTTGCCCCAACTATCTCTCTTGCCTGCTCTCCCGCAACACCTTCACCCCTTGGAGTCTCTAGTGTCTGTGAGGGATAAGCTCAGGGCTGCCTTCTTAAAGAGGCCTTTCTTATCCTTCCATCTCTTCTGACAGATGCTAGTACCCTCTCAACTAGTTACTTTATGTCCATTTTGTATGTTCCTGAATATACATCTTCATGTGTACGTGTTTCCCTCATCAGAATATAAGCTCTTTGAAGGAAGATTGTTTTGCTTTTGACTTTGTATCCCCAACATGTAACACAGTGCCTGGAACATAATAAGCACATAATAAATGCTTATAGGTTGATTTATTGATGATGGAGGAGAGGATAATTTCTACCAGTCTTTTGCCATATCTTCTCCTGTCCTGTAGGGTCTTTCCGCCCTTTTTATTTGATTATAAAGCAAAAAAATGGTTTACAACTTTCTCAGCAATCACCCATTTTGCATATTGGGTAAAAGACCAATATAGCAGGATTTTAAAATTACGGTAGAGTTCGGTTGCTGTAATATGTTAACAATGTTATTTGAAGATGGCACTGGTTGGGACAACACTATGTGACATGTGCCTATATCCAAATGGTTTTATTTTCATAGACAAGCGCCTGGATAGTTATATGAAGTATTCTGTAATTGATGCAGCAGAGATTCCTACTTCTTCCCAAAGCTATCTAACTAGATCAGAGCATCAGCTAGTGGTAATGACATATGGTTTTAGACATAGGTCCCTCAAGTTCTAACAAAACATTAAGGGACATGCCTATCAAAAACAAAGGTCAAACGAGGTTGCTAAGAGGATTGTCTAAAATCAACTGTTAAGCACCAGAGCAGCAATGATGAGGAGCTTCAGGAAAAAATAATCAGCAGGAAAGATCATGAAATGCCCTTGATAGAGTATGAGCTAATGTATTCAACTGCATGCCATTTAAAATCAAATTAATATACATAACTCAGCATGAAATAATGAAAATGTGAGTGACGAAGACTGAACAAATTAATTACAAATGATCTCTCTCCCTGTGTCTCCCTCCCTCAATCTATCTATCTATATATGTATGCATGTACACACACACACACACACACACACAGGTATTTATTTATTTATAAGGCTAATGAATAGACCTGTGATTTCCTTGATATAGGGAACTCTGGAACGAGGAAGCTACTACTACCAATTTAGGTCAGCACTTTCTCTACAACTTAGGGTCTTAGAGAAATTCCTAAAGCATTAAGAGATTAAGTGACTTGCCCAGGGCCACACAGTCAATATTTGTCAGAGGTAGTACTTGAACCCAGGTCTTCTTAGCTCCACTATACAAAATTTCCTTTCAATATATGTGAGATACATATATATATGTAATATATATGTGTGTTATATACACATACAGATATGTGTATTTGTATATTTTGCCTACATATTTCTGTAAATATGTATTTTATGCATATATAAGTATGCCTTATACATTTTCCCATTCATTTACGTGTCCATGTCTGTGTTTCTATTGCCTGCTTGTTTTGTGTAGATAGGTAGATGATACAGACATAGATATAGATACGTAAAATGAACTTACCCAGAAGCAAAGAATATATTGCAGCAAAAACTACAGGGAGATCTAGGATAACGAGAACTGAAAAATCCTTTAGAATTATGGTAAGGAAGTCACTAGTGACATCTAAGAAGGAATTTTTAGGAGGAAAATAGGGAAAGAAGCCACAATATAAGGAGTTCAGAATATAAATGGTTATGAGAAAGTAGACATGCAACATACACAAAACTTTTGTAAGAAGGGAAGGTTTGTGTCTTATCCGAGGTTCCATAGTTTCTCATTGACAGAGCAAGATCTGAAGAGCCTACATCTTCTGACTTCTGGTCTAGCGATTTTACCACCACACCGCAAAGCAAAAAAAAAAAATCCCAACATTTCTTTAAACACTATCACAGAATTTAGTTCTCTGAGAAAGAAGCAAAGAAACCCCATACTAATCCCAAAAGTTCATAGCCAAAAAGTGACAAATTGGTTATAGAAATGTATTGCTTAATACCAGGCTAAAGAATATATTTCAATTATTCTTGTACTCAGATTAAATGACTATGATGATTGAATTGGTGAGCCCCAAAGGCTCAGAAATAATTTATTCTCTCCCATTAAAATGTTTGACTCCATTTATTTGAAAGAACATATTCCCCTAAAGACAAGAGAAATTAAAACAACTTTCATTAGTTTGTAGATACAATTTTTTGACGTAATCTCATTCTCTTAGTAGTGAGTCATTGGCAACTGAAGTAACAATGTTCAAAGAAAATAGCTCTCTTTAATTACACTCTGAGTTGCAATTATATTTGCAAGTGTAAGGTAAATCAACTGGTGCAATTTGGGCAATACACAAAGATTCTGGATGCCAAATGGAGGCTAACCAAATTGAGGTCACTGAGCCTAACCCAATGAGGTATTTTATGTGGCTTTTTTATCCTTTGCAGCTTGATACTCATGAGAAAGAGAGTATAGCCATTGTAACTGTGATTATGCCTCATGTCATGAGAGTCAGCAACAGGAAATTAACCATTGATAGTCATGATTGTAGACTGTTCTTTTATAGGTCACATACTGAAAAATCTCTGCTGTTGAGCAAAAAATTCCTCACTAATAACTTAGCATATATAAGTTGGTAGGTGAAAAGGACACAGAGAAGTAAATGAAAAGGGTGGTTAGACAAGTTATTTTTAGTGTAAAGAAAATTTATCAGGATATTTGGGAGGTTTAACAGTTTACAAAACACATACATTATCTCCTGAGCAAATACTTTGTAAACAACATAAAGCCATATAAATATGTTGTTGTTAAGACTGAAACAGCTAAAATTAGGTTTCATAATTTTTCTGTAGATTTCTTTGGGGAGTGGGGGGAACGTAGCAGCATGACCTAGTGACTACAGTACTAGACAGAATCAGGAAGATGGCTTCAAAGTCTACCTCACACTAGATATGGAATCTTGGACAAGTCATTTAACCTCAATATGACTCAACTTCCTAGGACTCAGCTACTACTGTCACAGTTGTCTATGGGGATGGTAAGAAATCTTCACAGTAACAAAATCATAGATTACTCATTTTCACATAACCCTCTATTAGCATAGATAATTGGTTTTGGCTACATATGTCTTTCTTAGGTCTTTAGAAAATTGTTACTCTACAATGAAATCTGACTCCGTTATCAAGGCAAAAATTAAACAATTAGTTACCTATGAATGAACCTTGTCTATTATTGTTCTGTTCCCCAAAAGAATTTAGATTACACTTGGGCATGATGGTACATGCCGGTAATCCCAGCCAGTGGGAAGACTGGGTTTAGAGGACCTCTCGAGTTTGGCAGTGATAAGCTGCACTGAACCATGCCAATTGGGTGGCCAAACTAAGTTTTACATGAATATGGTAAGTCCCAGGAATAAGAGTCAGTAGTTTGTCTACAAAGAGACAAACAAACCCAGGTTGGAAAAGGAGCAGGAGCTTTGGCAACTCCTATTCAGATCAGTAGTAGGATCTGGCCTTGCACTTCTAGCTTGGGCAAGATAGGAAGACCCAGACTTCAAAACCATTATAGGGCAGTGGAGAGGAGGGTTTTCAAATCCTGTCTTCCAGATTAAATTTTGTGCTTATATACACAGTATCTTATAATGTACATTTATTATGCAACAATTTTAAGAGCACATACCAATAACTTCTACTTTTTCCTCCTGGAGAAATTTCAGTATCATAACAGTCACATTTAGTCCTATTTGAGCAGCCTTGGAGAAAGTTTGGTTTATTGGTAGCCAATCCAAATCTTCTAGAGATGCTAAAGAACTGGAATTAAAATGAGAGAAAAGCTATAATTTTCAAACACTATTAGTACCCAACTCAATAAATACTAATTTGAGCATTTGTGCCAGAGACTCTTGTATGCACTCATTCCTCAGTTTCTATTCTAGCTCAAATATGGTTTCTGAAAGAGTTAAACTCACTATGTACAACAGAACAAATATTTATTAAATCTCTTCTATGTGCAAAGTATTGTGCTAAAGGTTATCAAGAATAAGACATTAACTCCACCCTTGGAAAATGCTTCTTGGTGGTGGAGGTGGTCCTTTGTTCTCAAGAGGACCAACTGTATCAGGAGTTGATGTCCTGACTTGCACATGAATTGGATTTGAGTGAGGCAGGGCTGCCTAAAGTCCTCAGCTTCACTCTCTCCTCCAGAGTCATTGGAATCCAGTGGTAAGACAAAGGTCAAGAGGACTGGTGAAGGCCCAGGATGAAGTGGGTAACCTTGACTTTCTACATTAAGCTCTTTCTCAGGTCTCAATTGCTCTGAAGCCATGTCTATTTGATGACTAAGGCTAGGTAAGAATTGAGATAAAAGATGACCCAATTTACCATCCCAAAATATGTCAGTCTGGGAGGGGAAGAGTTTTTGGACAAAACAGGAAACAACTGCTATTCACACTCCTTCTAAGCCATCAAAATCTAAGCAGTGAACCACAGAGGCTTATGCTGGGCCTATTATTGGCCATTCAATGAAAGCCAGAATGATCTGGAAAAAAAAAAAAAGCTTACATCCTAGCAGAAGCCCGGGGTACAAACATGGATATAAACAACATGATATTACAACACAAAATGCTATGTGAAGTCCAAAGCTAATGAGTGTTGTTACTCAATTCCTTAGGTAACTAATCTGCTGCAATGAAAAGAGCATTCAAAAAGTCAAGCACAGCATCATTTCATTATAATGGGGATTATTATTTCACAGAATCAAGTGAGTAAATCGAGGTCTCCACAGCATGATAATTATATAAATGTTCAAATGAAAACCCCAAGAAGCCCAGAGTTCTCTTATAACATGGTCACTGGTCTCCTCCAACAGCAGTGTCATAACTTGCAGCATCAGGTCAGGTCTCTACCATTTAAACAAATAAGCAGCAGCATAGTAGATCCCATTATTTTGGTCATTTAAATGCTCAGGGTTAGGTAGGTGAACCAATCGATTGTTACACAAGTTATAATGAAGACAGTTGAAAATATTGGATTTATCTTAACACAACCAATTCATTTATATCACATAGATGTGGTCTATATTGCCGAAATTAGTGATTCACAAACCCTGAAGGAAAGAAAGATATAAAAAGTCCCAGAACCACAGAATGTTTGAGATCATGCAGCACGATCCTCCCACTTTTGCAGATGAAGTAACTGAGGTCCAGAGGCACTTTTATTTTCAAGGATCATATAATTTGGAGCCAGAGGGAATTTAGAAATCATATAGTCCAATCCTATAATTTTTATGGAAGGAAAAACTGAGGTCTGGAAGGGAGAAAGGACTTGTCCAAGGTGATATGGGTATTAAAGAAGAACAGAAACAAGCATTTACTTATTAAGTACCTACTATGTGTCAAGCACTATCCTTTTCACAAATACTATCTCATTTGATCCTCAGGACAATTCTCAAAGGTAGGTACTATTAGTATCTTCATTTTATAATTGAGGAAACTGAGGCAAGCAGAGGTTAAGTGACTTGTTTAGGTTCACACAACTAGTAAGTGTCTGAAACTGGATTTGAATCTAAGATTTCTGACTCAAGGCACAGCACTCTATTGCATCATCTAGCTGCCTTATATTTTTAAGCAGTGGAGCCAAAATTCAAATCCAGATCTTGTCACATTTCTAGAGAATAACATAGCATTGGGCTAGACCCTAGTTTTCCTGATCCCCGTGCCAAATAGAAAAAATAACATAGTACTGGGGAAATAAGAGAAGAGAATATATCTCAGAGGAGAGTTAGTGAAGAATCTATTCCAGTGCTCTAATACTTCATAATGTGCAGCACAAAGAACATAGACTCAGTAGGCATTGCAGAAGGGATAAGTTGAACCGCTTTCCCTGGGTCACATGGTTGACCTTGAGCTCTAACATTCTGTCAGGATTTTGCTTTCTGATCTTTATTGCTAGTTGTTTTATTGCTAGCCAGAATTTCATTTTTACTAGTCAACCCACACACAGTCACAATAGGCATATTTTCTTGAAGTATGAGGTATGATTATAAAGCAATAAGCATTTATTTA